TCTCTCTCTCTCTCTCTCTCTCTCTCTCTCTCTTTTTTTTCCTTCTCTGGACATTCGCTGAAGACCACCGCCTCGCAAAGAGAAGGCAGTGAGAGGCAAGGGTATCGAAAGAAGAAAGAAACATCAAGAAGTAGAAGAACTAGAGAAAAAACGGAAAGAAAAAAAAAAAGTGCTGCGATCGGCCCCTACAAACTGGTGAGATCGCAGACATTTTTTTTTTCTCTTGTTTTTTATCTTGTTTCTTTTTTTTTTTTTTTCTTTCTGTTGCTCTCTGCACAGTCGAAAGAAATAGAATAATAATAAAAAAAAAAAGTAAAAAGAAAAAGAAATAGTCTTGGCGGTATGCCAAATCCATATTTGGGAAATGATGATGCGGCTCGCTATGTAGAGTACTATGCCTCCCCTCGTATGCAGAGAGACTCCGTCCGGCGGCTTTACAACACCGGCATGGAGCGTCGCCGTGAGTCGCTGCGTCGGGCGGAAGAGGCATTATACCCAACCAGGCCAACCACTTATCGTTCACAGAAACATATAGAGGATTACGTGAATGAGATGGTCTATGCAGAGATGTTTCGGCGTCAGAAGAAACTTGCAGAGTTGGAATGGGATTTATACAAACCTTCACCAACGCGGTATCTAACAGGTAGAGAACTTGAGGTACATGTACAACACATGTATGATCAACAAATACGACGCAAACAACGGAGAGAACGAGAATTAAAACTTCGTATGGGGATTATAAACTCTGAAGGTGATGAAATATCAGTAAAGCAACACCGTACTGTACAGGAACGGGATAAAAACCGAGAACTTGAAGAGAATTGGCGTCCACCATCAGCGCATATAAAGTATAATGATGGTGAACAGTTATTAGTGTCGGAGTTGGCTGCTATTCACTGTGAAAGGGCTGTCCCGACGTCATTTTCTTCTAATACGACTACTCCGGTACGAACACCAAGTCGTCATGTTGATCCCGGGCGTCTAGAGTTACTTGCAAAACCGCTGCGAGTAACGCCAAAAGTTCGTAAAGAAGATCCATTAATACCTCCATTTCGCGTATTCGGAGATGTCCCGAAGTCGCGTGTGAATAGACGAAGAAGCACCTCTGTGTCCTTTTGAAAACTTACAATAATAAAAAAAAAAATAGAAATCAAAGAGGTGTACCAAAAAAAAAAAAAAAAAAGAAAGAAAAAAAGAAAAGGAGGGGTATATACAAATATTTCAGAAATTGTGTGTAAGAGCAGGGTTATTTTAGATTTTAATCCTTCTTACTTATATACCCTGTTCACTCTTAGAGACATCAGGAGCGATATATGGAGCTTGCTTTCTCTCTCTCTCTCTTTCTTTTTTTTTCTTTTAAATTATTTTCTTTGAATTGTGCACAAATTGCAAGAGAGAAGAAGCTCCTTATATCATATATATTCCTTTGCTTATTAGTTTATTTTTATTTTTATTTTTATTTTACATTCACTGTTACCCTTTTTGATTCATTTCTTTTGTAAAACTTAAAGAAAAATAATGCATATTACACTTTCTTCTCTTTTTATTTTTCTTATTTCTCTAGAGAGAACAACAACAAAAAAAAAGAATAGATAAAAGAGAGATACGTTGGATTTCTCTAACTAGCAGAAGGAGTACCGGGGGACAAAATAGAAGAACAAGAGGAAGAAAAAAAAAAAAAAAAAGAAAAAAAACAGGGAGTAAAATTTATTTGTTTTTTGACCCAATTTAATTTTTTTTTTCTTTTTTTTTTTTTCTTCGCTACTTATGGCAGGACGTACCATAACTTCATTATGTCTTCTTACAGAGGAAAATCCACCACCTCTCTTTGTGGGAAGGGAAGATGGAACTGTTGAGCAATACTACTCACCCGATGCAGCCTCTTATGGAAAACCAGTATTAACTTTCTATGGTCATTCTAAAACTGTTACTGGTATCGCTGCACCATCGTTTGAAGAAGTTTATACGTGTTCAATGGATGGTACTATTCGTCAGTGGTCTACTGACACAGATCAGGAACACACTAAACGTTGTGTACAGGTATCTAATTTATCAACACCCTTGCGTTGTATGGCAGTGCATGAGGGTCGTATCTACGCAGGTGGAAATGATGGATGTCTTTATGTGATTGAGGGGTCTCGTACCTCCGCGTGGTCTGGACATAAAGATGCTCTTTCTTGCATCGCTTTCGGTGTAGAGGAAGGACAACTTATAATTACAGGAGGTTACGATAATCACATCCGTGTTTGGGATGCAAATTTGGGAAAGACTATTAGAGTATTGGTTGGTCATCAAAATCACGTAAAATGTTTACGCGTTGCAGCTGCAGGAGAGTTACTCTTCTCATTTGGACGTGATCTTACTATGCGTATTTGGCGATTACCAGAATTAACTGATGAGACGGATGAAGAACCACAATATACAGGCGGTGATTCTGGTCGTCAAGCAACTGTTTCCTTTAGAGAACCAGCTGTCACAAGTAGGAAATCTGCTACCGAGTATACGGGTTCCGATAGTGGTCCCACCGCTACTGACGAAGATAGTAATGATACCAAAGAGAATAAACAAGAGTCTAATTCAGCTCTAGAGGGAGAGACAGGGAAAAATGATATATCTGCTGCGGATCTTTACCGTGCTGCAGCAAAAGAAGCTGCAAAAGTTAAATCAGCCCTTAAAGTACGACCTGAACCTCCAATAAGACAGTTAAAACCAGTGGGAACGATTGAAATACCTGAATTACCGCACTTGGTAACAGCAATGAGGGATGAAGCCGCATATTGTTTTATTGGTGCATCTGATGGGTATATTTTGGGTATAAATGCGAGGTCACTTTCAAAGACAGTATTACAGTTTTTATCTCGTAATACTGCGAAAGTACGAGCTGATACACGCGAAACACGTCAGACACTTCGTCTGGCAATAAATGCTATTAAGAAACGTTGCAGAAAAGCTATTAGAGATAAAAAACGGGAATTAATACGGGCGGCAAAAAAAGCAAAAGCGGCGAAAAAAGCTGAAGAACGAAAAGAACGAGCTGCAGCTCGTGCTACGGCTCGTGCAGAAAAAGCTGCAGCTCGTGCCGCCGCTAGAGCAGAAGATGATGAAGATGAGGAATATGAAGAAGAAGAAGCTGATGAGGATGAGGAATATGACTCACAAGAAGGTCAAGAGAGTGGTGAAGATGATGAGCAGCAAGAGGAGGAGGAAGAAGACCCTCTCGCATTATTAGATGATGACCAGCGTGAAGAACTCACAACTTTCCGTAAAGCACAGGAAAAGGAAAGGGATGATGAAATTCTGAAACTTCGCACTGCTGCAGAAAAGAGGAATGTAGAAGTTGGGCGGATTGGGTCCGCCACCTTTGATACCACACGAGATCAGTTTTTCCGATTGAGTTTTACAAATTTCAAAAAAATTGGAGGCGAGGCAGTTCAGGCGTTAGCGCTTCTACCAGATGGCACATGTTATGCTGCTCAATCGGATCGTGTCATGCGTGTTGATCTTACACCTGGTATCACTTACTTGTAGATGGGTTACAATCATGACATTTTTTTTCTTTTTTTTTTGTCGTTCTTTCTTTTGATATATCTGTCTGTTTGTATGCTTTTTTTCTTTTCTTCTTGGAAAGAATATATTGAGTGATTTTTATGTACAGAAATGAGTAAGGAGTCTCATGATTTCTGATTTCCTCAGCACAGGGAGGAAGTACTGAATGTAGACATTATTGATATCTGTGTGCAAAAAAGAAAGAAAAAAAAAGGAATTTTCTTATCTACCTTATTTTTAGTCACACGGTTTTACTTCTCTGAAGTTATGTCATCTTGCCATTGGAATTCTTTGAATGTATATGAGTATGGTAGATCCTTTCTCTGCCAATGCTCCTTCTTTATTACCTTTTCCTCTTGTACTACTACTATTACTATTACTACTACATCTTTTTTGTTTCTTTTTTTTCATTGAAGGTTATTGCGTTTTAGGGGGCACATACGCACTTGCACATACACACCCACACAGAGAAAGAAAGATATAATGTCGCACCACGCCAAGATTCGTGATCTGCGCGAGAAGAGCAAGGATGACCTGCTGAAGCAGCTCACCGAGTTCAAGAAGGAACTTTCCCAGCTCCGTGTGGCGCAGCAGCTCAACAGCGCTGGCAACCGTCTGGGCCGCATCTGGCTCATTCGCAAGAGCATTGCCCGCATTCTGACCGTGCTGAACCAGAACGAACGCGAGAACCTTCGCAAGTTCTACTCCGACAAGAAGCTTCGCAGCAGCAAGCCAAAGGCTCTGCGTGAGAAACTCACCCGTCGTCGCCGTCTGGCTCTGAAGGACAATGAGAAGAACCGCAAGACCCGCCGTCAGCTGCGCAAGGCTCACAAGTACCCCATGCGCGTTTTTGCTGTGAAGATCTAAGCGACATTTCCTTGTTATTTTGATTTATGAGGGATTTTTCTTTGCATCGATAATTCTCTGCTTTTTTTTTTTCTTCTTCTTCTTTGTTGCATTTGACACCTATATGTGTATGAATGAACAAATTTCAATATCCGTTTTCTGCGATCAAAACGAAAATAAATTAAATTTTTTCTCTTTTGTTTCTCTTTCTCTTTTTTTTTTGGTTTATATGCATATATTAACGGTTGTAAAGGGGATCCTCCATTTCTTAGTGTGTAGGTTTGTGTTGTATGAGTGGTGTGTATGAGAAGCGAATGCAAAGATGAATTTTCTAGGAGATTTATCTGAGAACGCATCATCTCAGATTTTCCGCATGCTTCAGATGCATGCCGATCGAGTGAGAGCTCTACGGGAGGAGGAGGCTACCAGTATTGCCCGTGCAGAGCTTCTGGAGCAATTAACAGAGAGGCTCTTACGTGGTGACTTCTCTGCTGCCGCTGCTGAGGCTTCGCCGTTGTCATCTAATACTTCTTTGGAGGTGTGTGATTCACCAAGAAAGTTTAATAAACCCAATATCTCTGCGCCTAATGAGAGAGAGTGGAGCGCTGAATACTTAGATGCCGTCTCATCTGTTTGTACTGATGAGGACAGAAAACAAAAAGAAGAACCCCAGGAGGATGAAGATGGTGAAGAAGAAGAAGAAGCAGAAGAAGCAGAAAAAAAAGACAACCAACATCCTATTATAAGTACATCCCAAGACTTGTTAAATGATATTCATACGGATACAATAGAGGATAAAATCCCAAAGGATAAAGTGATGAGAAATGGAACACCTTCGCCCATGCGCCGTGAATTAGATGCATTTTTCCCTATTCTTGCAACGAAGCGACCTCGTCGGACGAATGCCCCTGATGATATGCACCTTGTTCGTAAACGAATGGATATTACGGCCACCGATATTCTGGCATCTGTGCCGTGTATTTCCTCAAGAGTTGAGTCATCAACTATACAAAATGATACCACTATTTATATGAATGAAACAAAGAGTTATGTTCGTACTAATCACATAAGACAACTTGATTACGCGGCAGATGAGGCGATGCACATTAGGGATGAAAATGCTGCAGTTGAAGTATGTACACCACCGCCGTATTGGGAAATTGCTTTCCCACAATCACGTCAGACTTAAACTTAATTGGATGAGTTGAAAGGGGTAAAGGTGCTTCACACCATTTGGTGTTTTTCTTTTTTTTTTTCTCGTTCTTTTCTGTCTTTATTATTATTATTATTATTATTATTATTATTATTCTCCTTTGTTTTATTGATATTTGCTATTTTTACTATTTATTTTCAGAAGTTTATTGCCCTTATGATGGCTTCGCTAGTGATTAAGGCCAAGTTACAGGATTTGGGTAACCTTATATGACGGTATTTATTAATATTATTATTATTATTATTATTATTATTATTATTAATTATTATTATTTTCACTCAACGACAACTCTGTGTTTATCTTATCTGTCAAACGTGTTTTCCCTTTGTTTTAGGGTTTATCATAGAAACAATAATAATAAGAAAAGAAAAAAAAAAAAGACAAAGTTTTCTTATTTCTTTTTTTTTTTCCAGTGTTTTCTTTTCGTGGAGAGGTAAAGAAACAGCTTTATCAAAAGAGAAATAAAGAGGAATAAAGAAAAAAAAAATAAATAAGAAATGCTGGGTCAAAAACATTTTCTGCGGCAGCGACAAAAAGATGTCATTCGTGAGATGATTTTATCTTCAGTTCCACTGACATATGGAGGAATTCCACAGCAGCAGCAGCAGCAACCACCACAATCCTACTCAAGTGGAGATGAGACAACTATCACAACATGGCGTCTTCTTATATATGATGATATTGGACGAGACATCATTGCACCATTACTGAGAGTTGGGGATCTCAGAGAGTTGGGGGTAACATTATATATGCATATCAACAGCAAACGAGAACCTGTTCCAGGTGCACCTGCTATATATTTTTGTGCTCCAACGGATGAAAATATTAACCTCATCGCTAATGACGCCGTAGGTGAGTTATATGAATGGATGTATGTAAATTTTACTTCTCAAGTTTCACGACGTGGATTAGAACTTTTTGCAGAAAAACTTACTCGTGGACAACTTCAAAGTATTCAACACATTCGTGTTTTTGATCGAACACTTAATTATGTTGCATTAGAAAATGATCTTTTTGTTTTAATGCAACAAAATTCTTTGGTAACTTTAAATAGTCGCCATGCAAAGGATGATGAAGTAGAGAGTCATTTAAATGCTATTGTATTAGGTATTTCTCACGTTCTCCTTTCACAACAGGTACTTCCAGTTATAGTTCATAGTAAAACAGGAGCTGCAGAAGAAGTTGCACGACGTTTATCTATTTGTCTTAATGATCATCTTAATGATCGTACTCTAACACCTGCTTCTGCTGCCGTACTTGGTCGGCCTTTATTACTTATTGTAGACCGTACTAGTGATCTCGCTACAGTTTTACATCATCCTTTTTCATACCGTGGATTATTAATGGAATTGGGAAATATGCATTTAAATAAGGTAACAGTACATGGAGAGGATGGAAAAGAAGTGGCTTTTGAAATTGATCCTGATAGGGATGATTTTTACCGTGATAATGCAACTCTTGATTTCAGTGCGGTTGGTGGAAATATTGAAGCTGCATTAAAACAATACCGTGAAGAATATGCCGCTCTTTCTGAGACGGCTTGTGATGGAGAAGATGATACAGATGCTAATTCTATGTCTAAACTCTTAGCAAATGCCCCTAAACTTGGAGAAAAAAAGAGAATGTTAGATGCACATACAAAGATGGCCTACAGTTTTCTTCATCAAATTCGTAAGAGTCATCTTGACCGTTTTCATGGTGTAGAATTAGGACTTATTCAACGTGAAGGACTTGATCGTGAGGAATTTGAAAAACTTTTCTTATCATCACTAGGAACATTAGAAGACCGTCAACGTCTTTATCTTATTGCATTCCTTTTAGATACTGAAGGAGAGTATGAAGCTATTCTGCAACGTTGTGCAGCCTCCTTTGGAGATACACCTTTTCCGGCTCTTAAATACATTAAACATTTACGCAACTGGTCTTTGGGTGTGGCAAGTCCAACCACAGGAGAATCCAGTGCAGCAGAAGGATTTGCATGGGGACTTGCACAGACATTAGCAAAGAATATCGCCAGCACACTTGGAGCTAATGCGAAATCGGAATTGCCACTCACAAAACTTGTAGATGCACTTCTTCAAGATCCTTCTTCAACATCATCTGGTGGAGCTGCTGCCCGTACAATAGGTGGAACAAATACTCTTCGTACAAAATTACTGGAAACCGTCGTTGGGTATGATCCACGAACGAGAAAAAGTGTAGATTTGGGAGATATGTACTTTTCACAGGCGATTGTATTCACTATTAGTGGTGGTTGTGTGGCCGAATATGATGATCTTAAAGTGTGGGAGGCCGCACATCCCCGAAAGTCCGTCAGTTACGGATGTACGGCGCTGCTGACGGGGAATGAGGCCCTTCAGCAACTTTCAACGTTAGGGGAAGGGACCGCGTGAGGGTGTGTTGAGATGTGAAGGAGAAGGGAATGATGAATTCTCTAAAAGAAAGAAAAAGAGGGAAAGAGGAAAAGAAACAACAACAACCAAAAGAAAGGAAGAAAAAGAAAAAAAAAAAAGAAATATATATCTGGGAAACTAGGGAAAAGAGAAGAAGATACTATATAAAAAGAGATATTTCATGTGTTGTAGTTATTTCTTTTTTTTTTTTTTTGCTATTCCCATTTTTCTTGGGACGTCTGCAGAGGTTCTTCTTGTTTTTTTTTCCACTATTTCCCTGTTTTTTTTTATTTTTATTTTTCTTCCTTTGTGTGTATGTGCGTGTGTGTGTGTGTGTTTTTGGGCTCTTCCTTTTTTCTTCACTTATCATTCCCTTCTTCTTTCTATGATGTTGCTCTGTGTTCTACAGGTGATGCTTCTCTTGTTTTTTTTTTCTTTTTGATATTTCTCTTTTTTTTTTTCTTCTTTATTCTTCATTCACTATACGCATATACCGAAAGGCACAGAGTTTGGCGAAGACAAAAACAAAAACAAATCATTCTCTTACAAAGAAAAAAAAAAAACAAATAAAAAAGAAAAAAAAAAAAAAGTCTGCTTTAGCTTTCAAAACAACCACAACTACAACCACATCAATATAAACAAAAAAAAAAAAAGGAAAGAAAAAGAGAAAAAGTAGTACAGAAAACTGGTTTTAGGCCTCTTTCTTGCGTGTGTACCTTCCCGTTTCTTTTCTCTTTTCTTTCTCTCTTTATTCCCTTATCTTTTTCTCTCTCTCTCTGTTTGCGTTTCCCCGGCTGAATGACGGCTGTGGAGCAGCTGGGAGTTGAGGCCGGCGGGCCGTCGGTGCTCCTCGCGGCGGAGCGGCTGCCGGCGGGCCCCGTCGCCGATGTGATGAGTGTCCCCCTCGACCGCCTCTGCCGCCTCGCCTGGCCGCTGCTCCTCCCCGTCTCAACAACAACAACAACGGGAATATCAGCAGGAGGAAATCGCCGGGCTCCCGCCATTCCGCGAGTCGCACACGCAGACCCGGACGACGCACAACTCGCGCGGTTGATTGACGCCACTGTGGCGGAAACCGTCGCCGCCGCACGGGCGCAAAAACAATGGGGCACTCTCACATGTCATTCACTCCGTGCGGTACTGGTGGAGCGGGCACTGCGAGAATTGCGGGATGAGGCAGCGGTGGTGCCAATTACTACTACCACCAATAACAACAACACTATGCATCCATCTACTGTACTATTACCATCATCCACACCACCAACACCATTATCCGCTGCAACAGCGGGAGGAACAAGTCAAAAAGGACTACAACGGGTATCGAATAGTAGTTTTACAAGTGAGGAAACCACCCATGTAGATACCACTCCATACAGTTCTGAAAGGAGGAAGATTACCTCCGTCTCTTGGGTTCTTGCTTATGTTGCTGGACAACAGGATGAAATGTGGTTATCAGAAAAGGTGCGGGAAATGGTAGAAGTAACAGCATTAGCTCAAAATGAAGGTCAAAAACAACTCGTTTCCACAGTGGCATCTTTATCTGGACAAGTACAACATGATAAACGAAGTGCACAGGTGTTTTTGTGTATACTTCAAGAAGTTTTGAGACGATGGAATAGTACTCCAGATTCTACAGGAGAAAGTGCTATATTTTGTTTCGGTGTTGTTGTACCTATTTTAAATATAACCCGTTTTACATCATTTAATGATACTGATATGATTACTTTGGGACGACTATTATCAAATGTGAATGTTCCTCCACGTAATCATGACGCAGGAAAAGAAGAATTGTCAGTTGCAAAGTTTGTTACAAATTATTCTCTTACTTTAGATATGGATGTGGATAGTAGGCAACTTGTTTCCACATCAATACCTCCATCACCATTAGCAATGCCACCACCATCTCCTTTATTACCTCCACGATTACGTTCTTTTGTATCAGAACCTCCTGTCTTTGATTGTTTACGACGGACAGATTATAGTAGTACTCATGTAAGTGAACCTGTTATGTCGACAGAAGTATTTTTACAAGCTCCACAAGCGCGAAAAGTAACTATTTCTGTTCGCCGAGCAGTATGTTGTGAAGGTGTTCAGTTAATACTTATTCCACGTCACTCTGTTGGTGATGTCATTCAAGACGACCATAGTGATCATGATAATGATAATGATAATGATGATGAAAATAATGAACATAGTAGTGCTGGTGTTGATAATGATAAAACTGAAGAAGGTGGTGATAAAATTGATGTTGTTGATAGGAATAAACATGTAATTGAACCTGTGTGGTTTGAACCACGCGAAGGTGAAACACGTGTACTTAATGGGGCTTGTGATTGTATGATACGATATATGCGAAATACGGATAATCCTACAACAACTTTATTAGAAGCAGATGTAAGAGTTGAAACGACCTTACATGTAGATGGAAGATGGGTAGTAGAGCTACGAAACACATTAAGCACTCTTCAACTAGATATCGCTTCTTTTCTAATTCAAAAGTTAAAAAATGATCTTGTAAAGGGTGAAATCCGTGTACGAGAAGAAACTTTGGTTCTTTTCCGTAATGGTTTACGTAATCAACCCCGATTGGGTGAATCTCCACGATTTGTAGAAGAACTTTTAAAGATTGATGATGCAACTTTATGCAAACGAGTACCTTGTAGACAATCAGATGTTCGAGCTGTACGTGCGGCGTTAACTCTTATTGGTACTTTTCTTGATTACTGTGAACCCGATCAACTTTGTTGGGAATCACGTATTTGGATGGATGCAGTGAAACGAGTGGCTTTAGCAAGTTCTGTGCTTGGGAAAAATACAGATATTAACAAGATGGTTACCTTTGTTCTTGAGTATGTAGAACCATGTTATTTAACTATGCCGCAAATAGTAGAAGGAACTATTAGTCTTTTAACGTGTAATATTTCTGTATCTGAAATACAAACATTATTAGCCGCCCAACGTTCACGAGCAGAATTTTGTATTCTTGCCCTTAATCTTTTATTACAAGCAAAAAATAATTTTGTACCAGGTGATATGTTTCGAGTGGCGAGTTTATTACGTGAAGTGGTTATGCATGAAGGGACACATTATTTACTTCGTTTTCAAGGATGTGGGGAATTATTAGAAAAAGAAATTCGTACATTAGTGCATAGACTCTTAACAGCATTGTTTACAGCTTTACAGCGAATTATGTCTTTACCAGAAGGAGAAAGACGAAAACATGGTCCACATCGTTTTCTTTGGGATGCGGATGAGTATGGACCTTTTGCATTAGTGACACTTTCACTTATTGCTTCTCCATTGGATGTACAGGATGTTGAATTTATTCAATATAAAATTGTCAAACAAGTAGAAGAACTTCTTCCTAATTTTACGGACTTTAGTCCTACCGCATCATTTAAAGTAAGTGATGTAGAGGAAGGTACCATGTTAGAGTTTTTACGAGCTCTTATTGATGATAATAATACAATCCATAATCATCTTCATCATCATCATACAGATGATAATGATAATAATGAAACTAGTACGGCAAGTCAATCTTTTACTGGTTTAACAATGACAGGAGCTACAGAAAGAGGTGTTGGTATGTGGATGCCTACAGAAAGAGAACGTATATGTAGTACTTCTACACCTTTCTATACACCAGCTTCACAGGTATCTTCTCCATCTTCAGATGTACCGGTATCTCATTTCTCTCCATCTACTGCTGCTGCAGATGTTCAGTTAGTGATAGCACCACCACAAGAATTAATGATAGCCCTTGCCTCTGAACAACATACTAGTTTAACTAGTGCAAAGATTCAAAGTGATCCAGAAGGTTTTTATTTATTTCCAAAAGATGGAATTCTTCATCATGCTGATCGACAAATTACTTTACCACCACTTTCTCAAGGTGATACGATTACCTTTTGTTTCTTCTTTTCCCCAAAGACATCTTCACGAATATTACGTTTGTTTTTAAACAGTATTCGTATTGCGGAGTTTCCAGCTCCACAGCAACGACTTTTTCTTCTTGCAGGTGCAATGGATTCCACTTCTTTACGTCCTAATACATTTTATATCACTTTTCGATCTGAAAATGAAGTGATGACCTCTATTCTACCCATGTCTTTTGATAATGAGGGAATTACGGATGGTTTACCTACACGACATGCGATTTCAATGTTTGCAACTCTTGTTTTTTATTATATGATATCTTTTTGTACTCGCCGTGCTGCACATATGCGTAGAACGATGACTACTGGATCTACTTCTCAAGCCATTTCTCCAACATTTGCAAATAGTCGTTCTAATGCTATTAAAAATAATTCTCAATCAGAAGAAGTATGGAGAGGATTTGTAGATGGTTGTTGTAATCCATTACGACAAAATGTTGAAAGTCTTATAGACTCTATTCAACATTTACCACTACTTTCAGAAATTGATAATGTTACTCAACGCGTACAACGTAATGCAGCCTTCTTTGTTTATCATCGTTTTCTTATGGATTATATTACTATTGTTCGTACGGCTTTAAGATGTACTTCATCTCCTGTAGAAATGTTGACAACATTAGCTAGGGTGGTATGTTGTGAAGAGGTTGGAGAAAAAGAACGGTGTATGGCCTTAACCGCAGTTTGTTCCGTATTACGTGAACCCTATCGTGGATTTGGTGTTGGTGCTTATAATCCCGCACAATTATGGGAATGTTGTCGATCACTGGCACGAGATATTTTTAAATTAACATATCAACCCATCTTTACAACAGAAAGTACCACACCAGATATGATTGTTTTCTCTGGAGGAAAACGTGTGAAATCGGCTTTACCCCGTAGTGAGGCTGCACATGCGGTTCAAGATACCACTTCCTTTGCTTCTCAAGGAATTCCTATGGATGGATCATTAGGAGAAGTGGTTTCTTTCTCTGTTCGACTGCAACGAGAGTTTGGATTTGATACACTTGGTCGTTATTACTATGTTGGTGTGGCTTCTCCATATCCAATGTCTACGGCTACGACATTGGTTCGTCATCCTGGTGAGAGTCGAGAGATGGCGTATTTGTATGCAATTACAGATCACTTTACAGATGTGAGATCTAATCCAGCACGAGCAGAACTTCCTCGTCATGCTAAGAATTGGATGTCAAGTGAGGAAAGTATTATTTTTGGTTCAGGAGATGTGATTACAGTGACGGTAAATACAAAATTACGTTGTATTTCTTTTGAACGAAATGGATTACCACTTGGTACACTTTATACAAATATTCCTTCTATGGTTAGAGTTGTATTTCCGTTTGTAAAACTCTTTAATAGAGATGCTAGTGCGGTATGGATGTATACTCCACGAGAAATTGGTATTCGAGCTCGTTTTGCAATGCGAGAAATGCTTCGTCACTGGGGATTTGAATTAATGCCTCATTTAAAAGAAATGATTACATCTGGTGATGTTGTAGCACTTAAAGTACTTGGATCAGATGGGGATGAAACTTGTTTTTGTTACCGTAGTCCACCACGAAGTGCATATAAAGGATCACAAAATGTACATCTCGTTAGACAAATAGGAACAGAATCGGAAGTTTTGGTAGAAGGCGGTGCGAAAAGTATTATAGTTCCTTCAGTGGCATTGGAATTAAACTATGATGTGGTGATTAGTCAAGATATGCCTGTAGGCGTATTAATAGAAGAACTTATACAAGTTGTATCTACTTTATTGAATTTTACTAGAGATGAAAAGGGAATTGAAAATGTTCATATTAAGAATACGAAAATGTTTATTTGTGCGCTTCGACTTTTATCTGAAGTAGAATGGACTAATATGAATACTGTAAATGTGGAAACACAAGAAATGTTGCTAAAACAATTTATACATCTCTTATCAGTACCAATTACAATACCTTCTAATGGTATGCATATTGTACTGGATGCATGGAATGAAGTTATGTTGTTATCAGATGATGATAATTTATGTATTTCTATTCCTTCTGACACCAAGTCTTCTGATACAGTGAGTAGTACTGTCAATATATCTGAGAATGAGAATACGAATAATACGGATACTACTACTACTACTACTACTACTAATACTACTACTATTACTAGTAATAATAAAAAGTATGATCATCATAAAAGTGTTTATGGTGGTATTTATATTCCTTCAGAAAGGACAGCTAATTTTTGTTTACGATGTCCATCATGTGATCAGGAATGGGGGAGTTGTAGTAATGAACAACATACGGCACCTAGTAGTCTTTGCGATACACTAGATCGTGTTTTAAAACGATTGGGAGTATCATCCCCTTTCACTGGATTTGCATCTGAATGGTTTTTAACAGAAGAAGGCATTCAAGTCACTTTACGAGTAAATGCTGCTGGTGAAGTTGAAGGAGAAGGAGAAGAACGACATGGTGTGTTTACATTTACAGGAAAACATGTCTCCAGTAATGTTGTCAAGGGACGTTGTGTGTATAAGTGTGCGGATAATGTTCCCATCGGAGAAGATGTGAATGAGGAATGGACCTGTGAAGTGTGTACATTTATCAATTTGCCCGATTCCACCCGCTGTGCGATGTGCACAACTGCCCGTCCAGGCGCCACGTGGACTTGTCTGCTCTGCGGCTACGGCTTTAACTCCAAGCGAAGTGTTATTTGCGTCACCTGCGGGCATCAGCGAGTGGGAGGCTCCGAGACAGGGCCGAACACAGAGCGAAAACAGGCCTTTTGTGAGGGTTGTAGAAGTAAGAGAGAATACACCACTTTTCATAGTTTTGACTCGCGTGTATTTTGCGAAACGTGTCAGCGAGTGACTTTATGGCTGCCGGAGGAGAATCACACGGCAGTTGTGGAGGCGGTTCTTGTGGGCGCTGGCGATCGAATGGAGTGGATGATTCGATTTGGAAATGTCAGTTGTATCTATACAGGATTACAGAGTTTATCCTATTCACTGGAGAGTATGCAGCAGGCGGCAGAGGCGGCATCGCCAGGCGCTAGTGATCTCTCACGATATATTCCACCACTTGTGTATATTCCTAAAACAAGTAATGAGGAATCTATATCTTCTTTATTTTCATCTCTACAACAACAACAACAACAATTACAATCACAACAATCACAACAATCACAACAACAACAACAACAACAACAAGTGAAAGAGCATTATCGTGCTGTTGTACCAGCTATTATATTCTTTTGCAGTCGAATCCTTTGTCGTTGGGCTCCATTAGTTATTCCTAAGGAATTAACTAAAATTGAAGTATTACGTTGTATTCGTGTACTGGATGAGAGTTGGTTAACACATTTTGAAAATATTCCTTTAGATGTCGCACGAGGTTTATTTTACGCTTGTTTATCTCTCTTATTTGAGGGAAATTGTAGTGAACAAGTTATTAAATCTCTCTTCTTTATTGCTCGTATTGTAATGAATCATCATACAGAACTTCAAAAACAACGACATTATTTACTTTATGCACTTTGTTTAAATACCATGAAAGGATGTGAAAGTCGTGAAATACGTGAAGCTTGTCATATTTCTCTAAATACATTATTAGAAGAATCCTTTGGTCAATCACTTAATGCACGATGTCTTCAAGATGTTGTGACCATTACACCATTTGTAGCTGAACAACAACGATTAATGGTTCATGCCTCTCTTCGTGGAGTGGATGTATCTATTAGTGCGAATGTGACCTTAACAAGTTGGCTTATTGAAGCGGTAGAACGTATGGAGCGACGACAATGTTTACCAGCATTATTTGATGAACAATCTCTTGATATATTTCCTTATCTTGTGGAATTACCAGATACACGTATGGGAGAAGGTGGTGAACTTATTGTAGGTCAAGTACGTGGTAGTGTAGGAGCTCTTACAAGTAAAGGAGGACGTTATTATTATGAAGTTGTACTTCCATCTAATTTTAATCAACGAGGTAAAATAGTAGTAATGGGATGGGGTACATTACAACATGAGGTTCTTAGTAGTGGAAGACATGTTGGAAGTGATATTCATTCATGGGGATTTAATTGTCAAGATCGTCTTCGTATGTTAACAGGAGAACAAGCTATTACGACTCCACGACCTATTGTTGGTGGAGATGTGGTTGGGGCATTATTAGATTTAGATTCTATGATGATGTGTTGGAGTGTAAATGGAGAAGAATTAATGTGGGTGGCGGTATCTACACAAGGAAAAGGTGAAGCGATTTATCCATTTGTGAGTGCAGCTGTAGATCCTTATGCTGTCATTATTCGTCTTGGACACACTCAATTTAAACCAGAAGGATATAAAGATTTTAGTCCTTTCCCACAAGAGGAAGTAAGAAGAGAAAGTAAAGTAGAACCCCAATCATATGAATTTTATGTACAACTTTGTAAGTTTGGAAATGATATTGTTAATTGTGGGTTTACAGTGGATTCCTTATTAGAAACTAAAACATGGTCTGAACATGCACAAATAGGAATGCAACAATATCCATTACTTTGTATAGAAGCGGAAAAATCATTAGATCGATTACGTCCATATTTTCAACATTTACGTGTTATTAATGCCTTAGCAGTGAGTGTTGCGAAAAGTCATGATATATTTCGTAATTCCCCTTATTTATTAAGAAGTTATCAAAAAACTCGACAATTACTCTTTTTTACTGCCCGTTGGGCCATTGTGGAACGTCAAATTGATCGTCGTCTTATTCGAAGTAATACTAGACGTCAACATTCTGTTGTGATTGATCTTAATCGTGCCAAGGCGATGATGGAGGGTAGTACCACTCTAGACTTTTTAACTTTATTTAATGGATCTATCACTGGACAGTTATTTCGACAGACAAAAGATGCAGATATTTATTTAGATGCTGTAATGTTTGGAATTACATTAACAGGAGAAGTTGCAGATGATGCGGGTGGGGTAACACGATCTATGGTAACAATGATGTGTGATGAGTTAAGTTATCGCGATGATGAGGATGGACGCCGTTCAGAACCTTTATTACCATTCTTTAAACTTACAAATCACAGTACAATTGTAAATGTAGTTCCTAATATGGATTTTTATCATGATTACCCTGAACATCGTCAAATCTTTTTACAATTCTTTACATGGCTTGGTAAATTACTTGGTAATGCTACCTTAAGTGGTTATTTAATGTTTTCTCTTACATTACCAAGATTAGTATGGAAGTTTCTTACCTTTGATGAGATTACAATTGAAGATTATTATAGTGATATTGATGATACGGTAAGAGGGGCAATAAATGATGATGAATTTTTATTAAATGATGAATTCTTCTATGCTATTCCAGGAATTGAAAGACAAGATGAAAGTGTAACGGAAACAATGGTGATGTTACGATCTAATCGTGTTTTACCCATTATCACACCAGCAAGAAGTTCTGTAGATCTCTACAGCACAGTGGCTACAGATGAACATGAAGAGACTGTAGAAGTGGAATGGCGTAGAAAAGAAGCGGAAAGAGCATTAACACATCAATATGATGAATTACTATTCGCTATGCGGTCTGGGATTACATTTGTGATTCCACAACACTCTCTTCAACTTATTCGATGGGATGATTTACAACAACGGGTTTGTGGAACCCCTGGGGCTACTGCAGAAGATGTTATTGCTTCTCTGGATTGTTCACTTATTTCAGATGAACTGCGGCAAATGTTAATGGATGTTATTCGTGGTTGGACATCTAGACAACATTCTCAGTTTTTACTCTTTTGTACTGGACAGAGACGAATTCCTCTGCGAGAAAAAGTACAAGTCTCGTGTGGAGATAATCCGAATGCGATTCCCACAGCCCACACCTGTTCACCCATTTCTCTACTCCTGCAGCCATACGCCTCGGCTTCTATTCTACGAGAGAAGTTGGAAGTTTGTCTGCGGCATATGTATGAATTTGGGTTTGCCTAAAGGTATATCTATATATATCTATATATATCTATATATATATATATATATATATAGAGAGAGAGAGAGAGAGAGAGAGAGACAGATATAGATGAGACTATATGGGGATATGGGTTAGGGGAGCAATCTACACCATCCTAAAATTTCAAACAAAACAGAAATGGAAAAGTGAGTTGGGTTTTTTTTTTTTTAGTTTCTTTTTTTTTTCTTTTCTCCATTCTGCTTTATTATTATTAATACTAGTAGTAGTCGTATTGATATTAGTATTGTAATTCGTTGAGTGTCTCCCTCTCTCTCTCTCTCTCTTTTTTTTTTTTCTTACTCTTCGTTGTGCGTGTTGAGCATCTAAAGACTTTTGCTTTTTTTTTTTTTTTTTGATCAATTATGTGAGCTTCATATTTGTTATTTGCGACTTACACTTCAAGCTGTTTTCTTAATGTCTATGTATTCAAAGTAGAGAAGACACTTACTGCAGTATGATGTTTTTTTTTCTTCTTCTTCTTATTTCAGCGTCTCGTTCTTTGCTTTCATTCAAGATTTCAATCCATTTCTGTTTTTTTTTTTTTTTTTTTTGCTGTTGTTTTGGTATGTCTCATATGCAGTAATTCGGACAGATTGTTTTCTTTTTTTTTATTTTAAATTCTTCTAAACTATCTGTTGTGTGTGTACGTAATCCAAACTAATGAGGTTTGTTCTTATTCCCTATATATATATATATCTTCCTATTTTTGGTTTTAATTCTTTTATTGAAGTAAATAATTCTTTTCTTTTTTTTTTCTTTTCTTTCTTTCTTTTTCTTTGCCCTTTTACTGGAGAGCAGCTGACGTCGTGCTGGCTCTTGTGTGAGGGGGACCAACAAAAACAAAAAATAAAAAAGAGAAGAAAAGGAAGTTGCAGCAAAGCACTCCCTCACATTATCAGAGAAAAACAGGTAGTTGAAAACAGACAACAGCTAGTGTAGAATATCTCTCTAACTTAACTAACTATATATATATATATATATATATAGGAGAGAGAGATAGAGAGAGAAAGGAAACCAGACCAGGAATAAGAAAAACAAAAGACAAAGAAAAAAAAAAAAAAGGTGAAGAAAGAAAAAAAGAACAAAACAAAAAAAAAGACGTTTTTTTTTTTTTTCTGAATTATGGCCGAAAGTGGTGAAATTATTTCCCATGCGGTTGTAAATCGTATGGGTGAAATCTTTGGTGAGTTTAGTTTTGAATTTGACCGCCGCTATTTTGCAGATAATGTCACTGCCGTTACCAAATGGAACTTGCACATTGATGAGGAAGACATTAGCGGAGAAACCACCGAATTCTTTGAAGAGGAAATGCCAGTGAGTAAAAACCGTAAAGTGGTGAAACTGCATCCTGGTAAGTATTATCTTGTACGTGTGCGTGTCTATTCAGAGAATGTCTCTTCATGGGGACCGTGGTCTGAGACCATACGTACATCATCTCTACAGAGTGTTCGAACCCAAATTAAAGAGATTGGAGAGTATTATGTACGTTTACAGTGGGATCGCCCACCACGAGAAACTCTTAATATTGTCGCTGAAAAAGATCCAGAATCTACACAAGCTATTGCAGATATTTCACAATTTGAATTAAGACTTTTTCGTGAGACTGATATGGTACAAGAATTCCATGATAGTTTCGCAACAGGAGTACGAACATACACGGTACACGCTCTTCGTCCAGGAACGGCGTATATTGTGATGGTTCGCTACAAAACTCTTATCAATACAATGAATCAATGGAAAGAGATTGGACGTTTTTACACTCGACCAGCTAATGTGATCTCATTACTTACCCGTGGTGAAGATGCTATTACAGTGGGATGGGAATTAGGACCAAGTCCTGTAGATGCGGTTGGGTATATTGTTCCAGACACGGCTGTACACCGCTATGAAGTTTCCATTGAAGCTGAAGATGTTACAATAAATCCCATTGAATTACCCGAACATCAACATTCCTACCGCATTGATGGATTAGCCCCAGGTACACTATATAGTTTCTATGTACGTAGTTTAACTGTTGAAGGACGTTGGGGAAATCGTTCAGATCCTTTCAAAGTAAGAACTGCTTGTTTACCAGAACTTTCTGTGGTGGCTTCAGGTGAAACTTTTCTCTCCTTTACGTGGATGCGAGAGAGAGATGAAACAAATGAGTCTAAAGTTGAATTTTCTCTTAAAAGTACTTCTTCTGCATATAAACAACACGATATAGTAGAAATTGGTCCATCTGAGGAAGATAAAGTAATTCATTTACAAGGACTTACAGCTGGAACAGAATACAGTATGTCTGTACGTATTTTCTTACAAGGTGAATGGGGTCTTTGGACAGAACCACGTTTTTTCCGTACCCAATCTAAAGTTTCTTTAACTTTCTTAGAACGTGGTGAAGATTTTTTTACTCTCGCATTTGAAGCCCCTGATGGTGAAAGAGGAAGTGTTCGGTTTAATGTTGTGGTGATGGAAATTGGTAAAAATGGAGAACGAATTGCGGTACTAGATGATGAGATTGTTCGTGGACAAGATGATCCTGGATTTCGTGTAGACTATTTACAAGCCGATACCGTATATGAAGTGAAATGTCGTGCTTGGCAATATAATCGAGTGACGGGATTTGAAGGATGGGGAGAATTTACAACACCTGTACAAACACAAACTCTTCAACATTTGGTTTTACATGTTTGGGATATTGGTGAAGACTTTGCCCAATTACTTTGGCGTAGAGGACTCTCTGAGAATACACCTGCATCTACACAAGAACAACAAAAGAGTCAACAACCATGGCCTGATCTTAAATATGAAGTAGTGGTGGGTTGTTTAGATACAGGTGAGGATGAGATTATTCATCAACGGGTTTTACAAACTAATTTTACTATTACAAATCTTCGACCTGCTACTACTTATATTGTTTCTGTTCGAGCTTGTAATGAACTTGATCAATGGGGTTTATGGAGTAAAGTTACTTTACGTACATTAGCTTCCATAGTAACATCTATTCATGAAGTTGGAGAAGACTTTGCACGACTGATGTGGCAAAGACAAAATATAGATGAATTAGGAACTTTGAAAAATGGTAATGGAAGTATTAATAGTACAGTAGATTCTGCCTTAACTACAGCAGATATGTTTGTATCTAAATATGCTGTTTTTGTTTTTAGCCGTGAAGATGGTGAATCTACTCCAAGTTCTTTAAGTGGATATCATATGGGAGGTAATGCTGAAGTTGCTCGTTATGAAACGGTGGCAAGTGAACATACATCTCTTCGTGTGAATGAACTTTTACCAGATCGTGAATATATTGCCGTTGTACGTGCATCTACTGCAACTGGTAAATGGGGTTTATGGAGTCGTCCTATACGTTTTCGATCTAATCCTCAATTCCGAATACCTGTTAATAATCTTACGATTGGTGAAAATTATGTGAATCTTGTATGGAGTCGGGATGCTCATCCAATGATTGATAAAGATGTATTTGTTGGAGATCTTACTGTAACAGGTCAACAATTACGTATTCATGGTGTGGATACACCTTACTCTAAAGATCATACACTTCCTGCAGATATGCGAGAACTTAAAATTTATGGTTTATCTCCTGCTACTGCTTATACTATACAAATTCGTGTTTGTGGAAAAAGTGGAAATTGGGGTCGTTGGAGTACACCTGTGCATATTCTTACACGAGATACGATCCTTACAAAGGCAGTAGAAGTAGCAGAAGATTATGCTATTATTGCCTGGGAACGTCGAAAAGTTATTAATCCCAAAAATTATCCAACAGGTCGTGGTGTGGTTACTTCTTATCATTTACGTGTATATAATACTACAGGTATTCATTCAGAAGTTTTTCTTGGTGATGGGGATTCTCCCTATCGCATTGGTAATTTATCACCAGATACTTATTACTGTGTAGAGATTAAGGCAAATTACAATGATGAGGAATGGGGATTATGGAGTACCCCACTTTGGTGTTTAACGATGAAAAGTTTGGAAATTCAAACAAAACTTATTTCTGAAGAATTTTGTTGTATTGTTATTAAACGACCTTATCAACAAAAACGACTTCCAGAAGATGATGGAAATCGTGCAAGTGATGATCGTCTTATTGCCTTTGGACAATTCCGTTCCAATCTTATGTTATGTGTGACTTCTCCTATTCTTACCCCAACACCTCATACCACTACGGGATATACAAGACCAAAAAATCAAAATTCATCTCTTCCTCCAAATGCTGTTGATCATCGTTTGATTTATCAAACAGAAATTCTTTGTACCACAGATGATACGGAACATACAATTCCAAATTTACGTTCAAATACAGTTTATGCAGCTTCTGTACGATCTAAACTTGAAAATGGTGAATGGAGTATGTGGTCATTACCTTCATTATTATTTGCTACGGTTCCAGCCACTCAGGTGGAGTTTACAGATATTGGAGAAAAGTTTGTGACGTTAGAATGGAAACGTAGTCCTCAAAAAATACCACCACAAATAGAAGATCCTTCTGAAATAAAATGTGGACTTGGAAGTATAAGTGCATCTCGTTTGAAAGTACGTGAAATTGGTGGAACTTTTCAGAAAATGTATGAATTAAATAATTCTCTTACAACTATGCGATTAGAACCTCTTTGTCCAGCATCTACTTATGCTGTTTCTGTACAAACATACAATGATAATTATGAATGGGGAGTTTGGAGTGAAGAAGGAAAAGTACGTACAAGTCCTGGTATGGATATTGCTGTACAACATATATCTGAAGATGCTGTTTGGGTGGCTTGGACACGTAAATCAGATATAGAAGATCCTGTAAACTTTGATACCGCTCTTAACTTGGATGTTGTTCCTAGAGCCTATGAAATAAGTATTATTGGTGATGGAAATTTTATTTTTACAAAAGAAATGGAAAGTAATACACTCTTTTTCCGTGGTCTTCAACCAGATACAGTTTACAGTTTTCAAGTACGAGCACAATCTACAGAAAATCAAGAATGGGGTTTATGGGCTTCTCAATCTTTCCGTACAAAACCACGTCTTCGTGTTACCTTTGGTAATGTTGGAGAACATTTTGTTGTTGTGGAATGGCGACGTCATTTACCAGCTTTATTAGATGAACGAGATGCAAATACTATTGTAGAATCTGAAGATGTCGTTCAACAATTTCGTCTTAAGGTACAACGTGTTGGTGATAAGGTACCATACGTTTATGATCTTAGTCCATATATTAGCAATTTCCGTCTTAAAGATTTACAACCATCCGCAGAGTATCGTGTATGGCTTTGTGCTAAAGGATATGAAGGTGTTTGGGGATTTTGGAATGATGAGGCAAGAGTACGTACATTACCCAAACTGGAATTAGATGTTACTGATATTGGAGAAGATTATGTTGCCGTTTCCTGGAAACGTGGAAAATGGATGGGAGAAACTGCCACCGATAGTGGATCTACTGTACGTGAAGTGGATGGTGCTGTGAGTGGATACAGAGTACGAGTATTAGATGCGAAAGGAGTGGAAGTGGTATCACGTTCTATAAGTTTTCATGATACCTCATGTACATTGTCACCACTTAAACTTTCTAGTGTCTACTCGGTTGAAGTATCTGCAAAGGATACATATAATGAATGGGGTCTTTGGAGTGATGCTAAACGTTTTGTTACTCTTGAAGCGGTGGATCTTCGTTTATTACGCGTTGGTGAAACCTTTGCAGAAGTTGAATGGGGACGTCGAAGTGTTCTCTCCCAGAGAAGACGTCAACGTTTTGCTCGAGATGCGGCTAAAGTGGCTGCAGAAGGTGATGAAATCGATAGTAGTGGACAAAGTATGGATAATGATGAAGATTATGATGATGATGATTACGACTATGATGAAGACTTTGATGAAGAAAATGGAGAAGATCGTAAAGAGATGGAAGAAAATGGAAGGAATGGTCATTTGGATGATCCCAGAGGACATGAAATGCGTCCCACTGGACGTTCAGGTTCTGTGGATGTGATCAATGGGGCAGAAGAAAGTAGTGAAGATGAAGATAATTATGATTATTTATATGAAGAAGATGAATCCCTACTTCGTGGTGATGGAGCTGTTTTACAATGGCATTTACGTGTAGAAGGACAACGTGTTTTTGGTGGACAACCCGGTGTAAATGACTCTGCAGAGTTTTACGCCAATGCAGATGAATTACAACATATCATTGATTCCCTTTTACCTTATGCGGTGTATACAGTTTCTGTACAAGCACAAGATAAAAGAGGTATGTGGGGACATTGGAGTAAACCAAGGAAGTTAATTACATATCCATTACTTAAACTTACTGCTGATAATATTACAGAAACTTTTATTCATGTCATTTGGAGTAGACCACCTGTTACAATGAAAACATCTGAAGGATTTATTTGTTTTCCACCAGAGACTCATATTCATAATTATCAAGTACATATTGAACCACTTTCAACGGAAGAACCATTTGATGAACGGGATGAACCACTTGTAAATGGTGCACGTGTATATGAAACTTCACAACCATCACTTCGATTAAGTAATCTTACTCCAGGTGTACGTTATCGTGTGGTTGTACGTGAACAATTAATTAATGCCAATGGAAGTTTTGTACCAGATACATGGGGTAGTTTTTCAGATGTACAAGTTGTAGAGATGGTACGACCCATGGGGGTAACACCTATTGAGATTGGTGAAGATTATTGTTTGGTGGGTTGGCACCGTTTACAACGGGAGGCCGGTGAGGCTCCTGATATTAGTGTGATCACTGGTGTTGGGAAAGTCACGGGTTATGAATTACGTGCAGTTCGATTAGATCATAAAGCGAGAGAACAATACCGTGGACCATTGGCATTAGATACAATTGTGTCATTAGAACCAAGTGCTACCTCTTATCATTTAGGAAATCTCGTCAGTAATACTATTTATGCGGTACGTATTCGAGCACAGACGGAAGGCTATTGGGGTCCATGGAGTTCAGTGATGAAGTTTGTTTCCCAGAGTCGATTAGAAGTGAAAGTACATGCCGTCTTTGAAGATACCGTTCTTTTAAGTTGGAGTCGACCACTGCCAATGTGGGCTGTAGGCCGCAGTCGCTCTACTAATCTCAGTCATTATTCTATGGCCTCAGCAGCAGCAGCAGCAGCAGCAGGAGGAGGAGGAGAACAAGGAGGTGTAGTAGCCACACCTCATACGAATGCGATGAATATGAATGGTAGTGAAAATGTTACTAATACGAACCTTATTTCAAATATTAATGATACCATGATGACAACGAGTACGAATACTTTTACTTCTAATGTTGGTGATGTTGTTGAAAATGAGAATGATACTACGGAAGAGGTTCGTGATGATTTGGATGCTGTCTTACTTGGTGACTACTCTGTGGATCGGTATGAATTATATCTTGAAGGGATAACATGTGATATGCGGCGTTGTCTGACACTCTCCAAAGAACAGTTATCTGTACGTATTACTGGTCTCTTGCATAATCAAATCTATTCTGTATGTATACGATCACAGAGTGAAAAATTACACTGGTCTATGTTATCTCGTCGTGAGTCTGTATTAACACTCTCTCCTATGTGTGTTGAGGTATCTCATTATACAGAAAACTTGGCAATGATCCGTTGGTTCCGTGCCCCACAGAATGTATTGGATTATGAATCACTTTTACATGATCTTCGTGTAGAGGTAGAACGACAATGTGATGAACGTGAAAGACAAGATCTTTTTGAGTTAAAACGACGAGTTCAAGAGATGGAGGCTTCACAAGAACGTGAAAACTTATCGGATTATTTAAGTGTAAGACGTGAACATAATGCGGCTGTACGCATGGATGCTGTTCATCACTTGAAGGTTGAAAATATTATTCTCGCCGATGCGGAAGTTTCAGGATATCACTTTAAATTTTATGGAGATGGTTGTGTACCGGTAATTGATGGAATTAATCGTATGCTTCTTCAGAGTCAATCACAACAACAAAAATCAGGGACACGAAAACGTAAACAAGAATCCGGAAAGACATCCAATATGAATAACAATACCAATACTAACAAACAACAACAACAACAACAACAACGTCGACATCATCAAGAAGGTGTGAATGTAGGTGATATAGATGTTAGTAATGGAGTTGCTGCCCCTACAACAACAACAACAACAACAACAACAGAGACAACACCGGGAATAACAGGAGGAGAAGGAGGAAGCGGAGGAAATAATGATGAGATATGTTTAAAGGAACAGACACCATTAACAGATATTCAACTTTCTCCTTCTGTTACAGAGATTCTTTTGAAAGGTTTAGAACCATCTAAAACGTTTTCTGTAGAATTACGAGCTCGTAATTCTATGAATGATTGGTGTCCATGGAGTCAACGGGAGATTTTCAGAACTATAAATTCAGTTGAACTTCATCAAAAACGTTTTGGTGAACACTATATTAACCTTTATTGGCATCGACTCCCTGAATCTGTTACACATACTATTGAGAATCATCAAAAACGTTTACAAGAACTTAATAGTGAGTTTAATTCGATGTCCGCTAAAGATTTGGAAGATAAAAAGAAGGAACTTTCTGAAGATGATTATAATGTACTTGTGGAAAGACTTAAAAACTGGCGTGATTTGAAACGTGAAGTTTCAGAACTTCAAGAACGATTAGCAAGTGGTCATGGTGGTGTGGTTGTACATGAGAAAACACCTATCAAGGGTTATCAATTACGTATTATTCATGAAAATGGATCATTTATAGATCATTATATTGAAAATAAGAATGAAGAAGATCGTAAGAGTGATATGGAAGATGGAAATGAGAATCCTATCTCTAACAATGATGGAGCTGCTGATAATAATAATAATAATAATAATAATAATAATAATAATAATAATAATAATAATAATAGTGGTACTGATACGGATACTATTCCTTGTGCTTTTACTGTAATGGGATTAACTTCCAATACGATGTATAGTGCCTTATTATGTATTGATTATGGAATAGGTTGGGGACCATGGACGGATCCATTGAAATTTATGACCCAAAATCTTATTCAAGTATTAATTACATACATTTCTGAAGCCTTTGTGGATATTGAATGGCATCGTGCACCTAATAAACCATTAGGTCCTCTTGATGAAGGTACTACATTAACAAGTGATGCTACTTCTATTGAAGGATGTATTTTTCAAGTACGTATTACATATGAAGATGATGAAAGTGGAGAAATTATTGAAGAATTTCGTACAATGCATTCCTGTAGTGTTTTTCGTATTGATAATTTACTTACAGATACAAAATATACTTTTGCGGTTCGTGAGTGGGATGCTGAAGGAGATTGGGGACTCTGGAGTACACCCAAGACTTGTGTAACCCTTCCTGGAATGACCGCATCTGTGGAAGAATTGGGTGAAGATTGGGCACATATTTCATGGTGTAGAAAAGAAAAACGTGTGGATTACGATGATGATTTACATGTATTACAGTATGGAGTAGAAGAGGTTTCTTATTATTTATTGGTTCAAGAGTTACCAGATGATGATTGGGAAAAGGGAGTTGGAGTAGGAGAAGATGGATCATCACTTCCTATTGAATCGGGAGATATCAGTATTAATAAAGCCCCAAAGACGGTTGTAGATGAGATGGAAGGTATTTTTACAGCACAACGACAGTCGCATGGTCCTCTTCCACCGCAAGAACATCCTGTGGAATTTGAAGGAGAACGAGATGGACGATATTACTTAATGCAACGTTTTTGGAAAAACACATCTACTTTTAAACTTGAACATCTTCGACCAGATAAATTCTATAGTGTTCAAATATTATCTGAAACTACTGGAGGACAACTTGGTGTATGGAGTAGTCAAATATATTTACTTACCATGTCCAAGATTAGTCTTATGACTGAATTTATTGATGAACAATATGTGGATCTCACTTGGCAACGTATGCCTCCTCGTCAACATCCTGCACTTTCTATGGATCAAGTATTTACAGGTAGATATAAAACTACAGCTTATGTACTGGAAGTAAATGGTGCTGGTGGTTTTCACGTATTGGAACGATTAGAGGGAGAAGGAAGTAGAGTATATCATTTATCTGGTCTCTCTTTGGATACATTATATAGCGCTAGAGTACATTCTATAAATGATGAAGATTTACCAAGTTTATGGTCAGATACACTACGTTTTGTAACACTTAATCAAATTGCAGTACAACCTTCACAAATAACAGAACATTCTATTGTATTAGAATGGGGTCGTGAAGAGCAACGACCCACAAGTGAAGAAAAGAATGGAGAATATGATCCAAGTATATGTGTGGGAAGTCGAAAATGTAGTGGTTATCTTGTACGTGTTTCTCTTGCTGGAGATCCATCTCGTGGATATCTTCTTGAGAAGAGTTTTCCTGGTGATGTTTTAACATTTAACTTAACATCTCTCGTTCCCAATACTCTATACATTGTCTCTGTACGTGGATCTAATAATATGGGTGAATGGGGAATGTGGTCAGAAGATCGTTGTATATACACAATGAAACTTATTTCTGTTGAAGTAGCAACCGTAGGTGAAGATTTTATTCGTCTTCTCTGGAAACGTGAGGAACCGGATGAGTTACAATTACCAGCATCTCCTTTCATGACTCCACAATATTCACACAGAAATGAAGAAGAAATAACGTATGAAGATTTAAGTCATATGGAAGATCATAATGCCCACAGTATCAATAATTACACGGTGGTCAATAGTGAGGATCAACCTATAGCGTTAATGTCACCATCAACAACAACACAATCCGCAACAGCACCAAGATCAAGAACATTATCGACAATGTCTAATGCTTTTCCATTAATTGCACCACCATTATTACCACCACCAGCCGCAGCCGCAGCAGGAGCATCATTATCTGTAACAGAATTATCTATGCATCAACGTAGAGTACGAAGTATTAGTAGAATGCGATATCCATTACTAGACCGTCCTGAAGTTCGATCTTCTATGTATAATAGTGCGAAAACACGTGTTGTATCTTATTCTGTAAGTGTTTTACGTATTGGTGAAGGAGAAGGATATACTATTGAAGTACCTGGAGATACTACTCTTTTTACTATTCCATCATTACTTCCAGATGTACGTTACTCACTCTCAGTTCGTGCATGTTATGGTAATGGAGAATGGGGTCCTAGTAGTGTAAGTGTTATTAGTGGTACAATGAATTTACTTGCAGTAGAATTACGTGGTCTTGGAGAAGATTACTTAACAGCCGCATGGCAACGATTACCAAATACCTATGATGTAAGTTCTGTAAATTTTGGTCGTGTAGAAGAAACTATTAGTTATCAAGTGGCTGTACATGATTTTACAGATGTTCCTTTTGGTGAAGAAGATGCAGAGGAATTACCACCACGACTACAACGTACTCTGTGTGTACCGGCTCAAGTGAATTCCTGTACGGTGAAGGAATTACTCTCTCATCATCGCTATCGTGTGAGTGTACGACGGTGGTATAAACCTCTGGAGTCTTTTCTGACTGCAGGTCGACCCTTAACGACAGAGACGCCTCCTCCATGTGATGATGAACAATTGGCAGAGTTATTACAACGCAACAGTGCATCCTGCGGGGCTTGGAGTGATGGTATTTATGATGTTACTCTGCGGGATATGGTCTGCACAATGGAAGAGGCAGCAGAGGATTATTTTGTACTGCGATGGGAGCGAGATCCACGTGTACCGCCTTTACCAGTGCGTAATCCTTTCCCAGTGAAACCCGTAGAGGGATATCATTTACGTATTGATGAGATGACACCAGATGGTACAGCCGTTGATACAAGTTCTACATCTGTTCATATTGATCAAACATTAAAGGAAGATGAGGTAATGTTTACAGCGCAGAATATGCGACCAGATACTGTCTATCGTGTAGATGTTCGTTGTTGTGTTGATAATGTTTGGGGTAGATGGAGTCGTACAATTTATGTCTTGACATTACCAAAACTTGTTATTGAAATTCATACTATTGGAGAAGATGATGCATCATTTTCCTGGCAGCGTCCACGTCGAAGTTTAATACTTCCAGATGGAACAGAAGCTTTATGTGGAAATGATGATGGAATAGATAAATTTCATCTTGAAGTAGTTGGTTTACAGTACAGTTTTCATGTAAGCAAAAAGTTTAAGGCAACACGTAATACATACCGTGTAAAACAACTTGAACCAAGTACCGTTTACTCTGTATGTGTACGAGCATCAGATGCGAGAAGAAATGGATGGGGTCTATGGAGTGATCGTGTTTTATTTGTTACTCTTAAACCAATGCATATCGTTCTTGGACCCGTTGCTGAACAATTTATTACCGTAGAATGGTATAGAGAAGCACAAACAGCGGAAGAATACATGGATATTGTAGGTGAAGGTATTGTATCTTCTCCTAATACAGGAAACCCTGTAGCTGCAATTCCTACTACTACTAGTGCTACTAGTGCTACTACTACTTCTGAGGCTAATGCTAGTGCTGCTGCGACAGCTGGAGCTTCTTCTCCTAGTTCTTCTACTCCTCCTCCTCTTGCTCTTCCTGATTCTGCAGATTCTGCTGTTGGTTCTACTGCTTGCCCTATACAACTTGGTAATCCAGAAGTTATTGCTTACCATCTTTGTGTTTTTAATAGCCAACATACACCTGCTCTCGCCGTTGTGGATAAACAGTTTCCTAAAGATGTTACAAAATATGCTCTTGGTGGTCTTGAAGCGGATACTCCGTATGTTGTTATTGTACGTGCTTGTAATACAGAGTCAAGATGGGGTTTATGGTGTAAGGAAGCTGTTTTCCGTACACAACGACTATTACAATTACAAGTAAAAGCAGTGGGTGAAATTTACGCACATTTAGAATGGGAACGTGAAAAAGGTGATCACGCTGATGATGGACGTGGAAGTGGAACTAAAGCAGAACCTATAATGTATCAATTACTTCTAAAGGCAGGAACAGAAAGTATTGAACGTTTAGTTCACCAAAATGAGTGTGATACTACTTTAGATGATTTTGGACGAGTTACTTATTTATTGGATGGACTTACACCAAAAACGAATTATTTAATGGCATTACAACCATGTTATGATGAAAATCGTTGGGGGCTCTGGACACCCTCTATTGATTTTAAAACCATACAACCTATTAGTATTACCGTTAATAGTATTGGTGCTAATAAACTGGAACTTTCATTTGCTCGTACTCCTGCTACTCCACCACCAACACCCCCACAAGTAGAAGAAGTGGAAGCTGAAAAAGAAGCAAGTAATGCTGAACATGTGAAGAAGGTTAGTTCTGTACTGCGTTATCAATTGATTCTTAGGAAAACAGAAGAAGTAGTTGTTAATTTGGATAAAGAACGTGAAAGTGATGCTGCTCATACCACTGGTAATTCTGGTAGTGCAGATCCTTGTGCGGCTTATACAGATGCTTCTCCAGATGCTCTCGTTGATGGTGCTACTGCTGAAAGTGTTGGAGATGTTTTTGTAGCAGATACCTCTCTGGATCATAATTCTGTACCACCTTCTTCTTCTGCAGCAGCAGCAGCAGCAGCAGCTGGTGGTGGTGGTGGTGAAGATGCTTCTGTTAATGTTGATACTACTGGTAATGAGACGACCAACACCACGGATGATCCTAATAATATGGGTACTAATAATTCAGTAGCAATAATAGAAGGAGAAGTTTCTACACGTAATGAGGGTGATACGGAAAATGTTTGTCGAAGTTCATTTTCTCAAACAATCTCACGTCGTGAACCTTTTGTGATGGAGCGTGAAATTGAAGTGGATCAAGATGCAGAAGTTCCCTTCACTGTATGTGAATTGGATGGACTTGATAGTTGTACATGCTATACTATTCAAGTTCGAGCAATGGATGAAAATGAAATGTGGGGTGCATGGAGTGAAGTAATGCTAGAGACTGCACCACTTCCTCCTCAATCTGTTACTTTACGCCGCATAAATGCGCAGTTTTGCCTACTTCAATGGGAGGCACCTGATAACCGTTACCTCTACCGCTACGTTGTTGAACAGGTGAATTACGTACCCACTGGGGGTAAATCCAAAACCACGATGGATTGGCGGGTGGTGGATACGGTGGACGACACCTCCTGCCGTGTGCGCAGCACGGCTCCTGGCGGGAAACTGCGATTCCGCGTGAAGGCGACCCGCGCCGGCGGGGACGAGACGGTCTTCAGTGAGTACTGCGACCCCGTGCGGCTGACGAGCGGCACCCCGCCGGAGCCCGTCTCGCAGCTTCTCGTCTCGACGCTCTCCGCCAGCGGCTTCACGCTCGTCTGGACCCCCTCGCGGTCCGAAACGACGCGCTCCCACCGGGCGGCGGCGGCCATCGGCTATCGCGTCTATTTGGCCGCCGGCGATCACGCCCCGATCCTCGTCGCCGCCGTGCGGGGGACCAGCCACGCCCTCACCGACCTCGAGCCCGCCACCGCCTACACCGCGCAGGTCGTCGTGGAGGGCCCGGACGGCATCAGCTACGGCAATCCAATGCTCCGCGTCGTCACCAGGACCGCAGGCGACAACGCCATCCTCCACCACATTGAAGGAGAACCGCCACTCGGGGTTCCAGTGGAGCCGCTGGTCGCCACACGGCGCGCAATGCTTCCGGAGATTCCATCAGGACGCGCCACTCTTATTCCGCAACCACCAACAGGAACACGTCAAAGTCGAGGCCGAAGTGTCGCTACTTCCCTCAGTGCCACAACAGCAGCTCTACCCGCATCAGCAGGACAAGCCGCAAGTTACGAAGGCTCCGTCTCATTCCCACGTACAAACTCAGGTCCACCCACAAGAAACTCCAGTCTTAAGCAAAGGAAAAGAGACCGACTCCCATCACTAAGGAAAAAACGTTAACAGAGAGGGTTGTTTCTTTTTTTTTTTTTTTGAAGGGTCGTTGGTAGTTTTGCTGAATGAACCACTTTCTTTCTTTATATTTATTTTCTTTCATTTGCAGTATTACACACGTATTATATGTATATATATTTATATTTATATATATATCGGCGTGTGTGCTTTATTTTCTCTTTCTTTTTTCCACACACAGAGTATCTCTCGGTTTTATCATCCTTAACTCCTTTTATCTTTTTTCTTTTTGTTTGCTGCTCTTTACAGCACACTGTGAACTTGTGTGTCTGAAGAGCAGGAGAGAAGCAGAAAAAAAAAAAAAGAGGTTACTGAAAGAATCATTGATGGAGGAAAACAAGGTACGAAAAACAAAAAAGGAGAGGTTGTGATAGGTAAAAAAAAAAAAAAAAAACCGAAAGAACTTCCTAGATGTTATTGGAATTTCAGAATGTACAATGAACTTCTCGTTCTTATTTGAACCTCAGACAATGGATGTATAAATGGTTATATATATATGTATATATATATAATCTAATGATCATGGATTTTTTTGTTCTTACTTTTTCTATTATTATTACCTGGAATGTAAATATTTTATGGAATGAAGTTCATGCAGAAGAACGAAAGAAATAACAAAAAAAAAATTCGCTTTATAGATGTTTAATTTTTTTTTATTTTTGCTCTTTTTACTATATGTGAAAAACACTGTGTTTAGATTTGTTTTTTCAAATGTTTTTTTTTTTTTCTCCATTCTTTTTTATTGGAAGTGTCTCTGTTGGTAAAGGCTATTAAGAAAAAAAAAAAAGGGGGAAAAACAAACCAAACCAATTGACTAAAAAAATGACGGAGTCAGTTAACTGTGTCAATAGCATCAACAACAACAACAACAACAACAACGGCGATGATGATGATGATGATGATGATGATGATGATCTCTTTGCTGTTTTTGATACACCAGGAGCAAAAGAAGAGTCTATCAATTCTCATTCCGCAGCGCTACCACTCTCTGGCAGTTATGAGAACAATAACATAATAGGAGGAAACGTTGAGTCTTTTCAACGTACACAGAGCAGTATTAGTAGTGTTTCCATTACAGAGGTCTTAAACAAGGCTACAACATCAACATCATCAGCAGCAGCATCTATTATGAGTATCGTTCAAGGAACTTCAAACGAGAGTCTTGTAGACGATATTGACACAGTCGGACAACGGCAACATCGTCCCAGAGCGACACTTGTAAAAGAACCTAAAAGTGGAATAAATATTAGTCGACCTACAAAAAGCTGTGAACAACTTCCTGTTATATTAGTTCAACATCCTTTCCGCACGTTTACAGAAGCACGTCGTATCCTTAATGGAGGAGATACACAACAATCACTAATGATTATTGGAGTAGTAACGCGCAAGACAGATCCAAAACAAAAAAATGGAAAACATGCTTATGGGGTTATATCTCTTTGGAATATGCAAGGACCTTTTCCTACACCAATAGAAGAAATGGCTATTTTGTTTGGTGGATCAGCATTTGATGTACACTACACTAAACTTGCAAATGGAGTAGTTCTAGGACTTTCGGGAGTGCAACGAATGGAGAATCGAGGGGGAACATCCTCCTCTACCTCTTCTTCTTATACTTCTACTACTGGAAATTCTAATAATGATAATGGTTCACAAATGTTAAAGGTGGTGACGAGTGAGCAGGTACGTGTACTTGGTTATGCAGCGGATCTTGGAACATGTCAGGGAATTCAACAACGTACAGGTGAACATTGTAATTACATGGTGAACAGTGCGTTATCAAAATACTGTTCTCACCATGCGATGAATCTTCGCCGCGAGGCACGTGGTAATATTTCAGTTAATACAACAACAACAACAACAACAACAACAAAGATGCAAACCCCATGGGGTACCAATCGTTCTTCTTCTTCTTCTGTTAATGCTGCCCTTCCTGCAGGTACAACACGTGTAAATCTTTCATCACTTAATCCTGCTATGCCAACCGCATCAAAAAGTACACTACAAGCCCTAGCGAGGCAACAGCAGGGATTTTTAACGGTAAAGGGATCCTGTGGTCTTCCCACACATTCCCCTTCGGCTTCCGATGTGAGTTCCGCTGGTGGGGCCTACGCGGGTGTAGTGGCCGGCCGGGCATTGCCAGTCACCGGCATTTGTCGAGATACAACGCGGGTGTTTAATACACCAACAGCACTCGGAGTGACCTCGCGAGGTCGGGCGGTGCTGGCCGCCGCAGTAGACCAAGAGGATGCGAAAGAAACCCAACGACTACTACAACGAGCCATGGGAAGAAATGAAACAGGAGTAAAACGAACTCGAAGTGAAAGTGTAAAAAGTACATTAACGTCAGCTATACAAAATAAGTTACCAACAACCACAGCAACCACAGCAAGAACATCATCAAATACTATTTCAAGTACAGAAAAGGAATTGGAGGCTATTCGTGCACAGTATGCTCCTTTAACTAGTGATAGCTCAACAGCCTTTGCACCGATGCGTGGTGGTGGTGGTTTCAATGAAGTTCTTCTTCGCCGTGAAGATTACGCGAATCATGTTGTTACGAAGCGATCAAACGGCACAACAAGTGCTCTCGTCTCTACTGTGGCACGTCAACTTCGAAATGACGGTCTTCTTTCAAAAAGTGGATCAACTCTCACTAATGAAGAACAACAGAGGCAATCTGGTAATGCTCCTCGACCTGTTTCACTGCTTGGAGTAGTGGCTGGATCTATGCAAAGTACAAACGAAGAACTTCGTAAAATAAATGTCAAACAACAATTTGAACAACGTATGGAACGTCGTCTCACACAGGATAAAGCTTTAGAGGCACTTTCAAAGATTACAGAACAAAAAGTAAAATGCGTTTTTTGTCGTCAATGTGATCGTTGGTATATGAAACGTAATGAACGTTGTAAAATGCTTCATCATACCTTGATAGCAGGTGAAACAACTAGACATTTCATTGAATGTGAACATTGTTCTTATAAGACTACTGTGCTTGGTGATGCGCGACCATCAAAGATAATTCCGCGTTGCCCACGTTGCTCTGCTGCCTCTGTGTGGCGGCCAAGTAATGCAGCCCCGGAGTTGGCAGCACCGAAAGAGGTTCCTCCACAGCTGTAAGGTGGAGAGGGAAGATAAAACATTACTAACTTGATAGAGCAGTGCATGCTAAAAATCAAGAGAGAGAGAGAGAGAGAGAGTGTGTGTGTGTGTATGCAAGAGATATAAAGATAGTTGGAAACATTTTGTCCTTGGAAAAAATCTCTTGAGATTGTGTAATAATGATGATCGTTTCTTCTTTTTTTTTTTATTATTTCTTGGTTTGAGCTACACAAACCCATTCATTACATGAGAGTTATTTCCATAGGGTTTGTTGACGATTGAGTAAAAAAGGAACCTTGTTGCTAAATTTGTTTTTTTTTTTTTTATTTTTATTTTCGTTTCTATTGTTGTTATTCTTACATTATTAGAGCGGAAACGAAGCGTAATAATTCATTTAAAAATGGATGAAGCATTTTACCATTGTGTTACTATTCGTTGTGGAGAATTATTATGTTGCACGACGCTTGGTACACTTCGTAAGCAGCAGAAGAGTAAACTTGTATCCCTATTTAGTGACGATTTCCCACTCTACGATGATACTTCAGATATTCATTTAATGCCGCTTAAGTATGGTGTGAGTGGAGAGGCATTTTCTACAGTTGTAGATTTTCTTCGTTGTGGTGAGTGGCCGCCGATCTTGCAGCAATCACTCTATCAAGACATCTTAACATGCATAGAGCGGCTTGAACTTTCTGTTCTCCCACCACCTTCGCCTAATTTTAACGCCGTTGATCGAAAGTATAGTTGTATGGAGGTTGTAATACCAGGAGAAGGAAAAGGTGTAGGAACTACATCTTGTATAGATGTTTGCGCAGGGTTAGGCATGCGAGGATATCGTGTGCGGAAACAGTTGCAAGGGAGAATACTAGATCCACATAAAGGTACCGAACGATATGATGGAGGAACTGTGACGTTATTAATGGAACGTCAGCTTCCAGTTGCACCGCGCCTTGAAGCGTTATCTTCACGTTCCACGTGGGTTAATGTACTCACACATGCTATGTGATATGAAGTTTTGAGTTTGGGATGTTTTTTTCTTTTCTTTTTTTGAACTTTATCACTTTGAGGAAACTAAAAGTGAATTTTCAATCCCATCCCTCTCTTTTTGTTTTTTATCGTTTGTTTTATTTCCATTTATCGTTTCTTACAAAGTAGTGTACACATACGTACACACACATTTATATATTCTCTCTTTCTATGTTGACTAGGTATTCTACCTCTATCCCTATATCTATAGTCATTCTTGGTGGTTCCCTACATCCATAAGGAGTCTATTTACTCTTTCTTTCTCTCTCTTTATTTCTTTTTCTTTCTCTTTCTCTTTGTTAGTGTGTGAGAAATGAGCTCCACCTCGCCTGCTGCCCCTCCGCCCGCTGCGGCCCTGCGGCTTGTGGACGACATGATCCGCTCCGGCCGCTACAAGTTGCTGCTGGACGCCGTGAAGGGATTCCGCAACGGTTTTGTCTACGGCGCCCGCATTCGGGCCCCGCACGCGCTGGTGTTAAATATCGTCTGGACGCACGCCCCGCTCGCCGTCATTCTCCGCCGCGTCTTCACCGCCACCCGCCGCCACGCCGTTGCGCTCGGGGCGACGGGCCTCACCGTCTCGCTGCTCCGCGGGCTCCTCGCGCGGCTCGAGGGCGGCCAGCGGGTGTGGCACTCCGCCCTCGCCGGCTTTATTGTCGGCTGCGCCTTCTGGGGCGAACAGACACCCGTCGCTGTGCAGATGGCACTCTACATTCTCTCACGCATTATAAGCGCTGGCGTGTGCATCCTCGCTGAAAGGCACAACATTAAGTTAACACCAACCGCATTTCGCTTATGCTCCGGGGTACTCTGGATGATCGTCATGCCATTGTTCTTCTTTCATGGAGAGGCGTTGCAACCGTCTATGCGAACTTCCATGAAGTATATTTATCAGGATAATGAAAAATACACAAGCTGGTATGATCTCATCTGCGTCAACAGTGAGACATCTTTTTGATACAATGGAGAAGTTTCCATTATCTAGGTGGGAAAAAAAAAACAGTGACTGATAGTGGCAGTGGGTAGTATAGTGGTAGTCAGGGTTGAAGGAGGAGGTGATGCTGGTGGTGTGGGACGAACCAATATATGAGCAAGAACAACAAAAGAAAAGTAGGACAACCTGAAGATATTTATATACATATATACAGAGGTAGAGCCATACAATGTACACGTCTCGAACGAACAATTTGAAAGAGAAAGAGAGAGAGAGAGAGAGACTGTGTGTGTGCGTATGTGGGAGAGTGAAAACAAGAGATCTAAAGGTCTATAGCGAACAAAAAAAAAAAAAAAAGAGAAAAGAGACGAGATTCTACATGAGTTCCCGTCTTTTATTTGTTCTACGTTTCTTTTTAATTCCTTTGCTTAGACTGCCACAAAAAGTCGTTTTTTGTTTTTCCTGTCTTAGGTTTTTTATTCATCCTTTTTGGGAACATCGAATTTTTGTTATTTCTACTTCAAAAAAAAAAAATGAATGATAACTGTTATTGTGTACTAATTCCATTTGTTTCCCTAGAAGTTTATACTTGTATATATATATGACTCTCGTTTATTTTTTATTTTCTTCTTTGAATTTGTATTTTTATTTCTTTCTTTCTGTGATTATATGCCTTGACTCATTTTGTGATGATGATTGGTAGTTAAACAACACACCAGGTGCGTACTTTTTATCAAAGAAGGAACAAAAGAGAAGGTGTGTGTGTTTGTGTGTACAGAATAGAGTGAAGGAAGGAATTAAAAACTAAGAAAAAACGAAAAAACAAACAAACACACCACCCATAGGTTCATCAAGAAGAATATTAGCTAGAAAGTCAAGAGGAAAAGAAAAGAAAAGAAAAGAAAACATACACACATATATACATTTATATATACAAATAGAAAGAAAAGCGGGAACGCTAATATTAACGAGTCGATTCTTATTCGACAGAATACATGGTGATGCCCAACAGTTTTAGGGAAATTGCAAAATTAGAAACGGAGAAACTCCGTCAGACGCTGGTAGCCAGCGGAAACACCGGTAACAGTACTTTAGAGGCACATATGAATCTTGCTGAGGCAGAAATGCAGGCATTATCAAAGCAACAAAACTTTCTTGAGCGTATGGTGTCATTATCAGATGAGGAACGCCATGCAGCAGCTGTTCAGAGACGACAAACTGCTTTAAATCGTCGTGAAATGTTGCTTAACCAACTTCAACAATTTCGTTGTAGTGAAGGTGGTAGTAGTGGTATTAAAAATGGTGAAAATATTGATGTGTCCACATTAATTCCTGTGAGTGATTGTATAAGGCGGTGGGCTGCGGTTTACAGTCAGTTGGCATTACAACGAGAGCGACTATCGCATGTGCTATCATGTTCTCCATCTATGCTTCAAGATACTGTTGTGTTTGAAATATGTAACTCATGGGCTCCTTTTAATACAGCTATGAATCATTCTATTTCCATTTTAGAAAAGGTGGAACGTACAGGAAGTGTAATGTTATCTACTCGTGTATTACGTGGACAATATGAACAAGTGGTAAAAATGCAGTTGCAAGCTATTTCACTTCTTAATCGTGAACGTCATCGTCGACATTTATTATGTGAAAATACTGCAGATCTTTTTAAAGATCAGCAAAAGTTGCTTGTGTGGTGTCGGGAACAGCAGGAAACACTTGAGAAACTGGAAGTACTGACAGATATACGTGAATTTTGTGCGTCTTTTGTCTCTAATGTGGCGGTGATGGATACGAATTTCCTTGTGTTGCTTGAACGTAGCGAAACATTGATGGACAACAGTGCGGTACGTGAGGCGTTGGTTGAAGTGAATCGCGCGTGGATGCAACTCGCTGTTGCCGCGTATGAGAAGATGTGCCGTGGTGTACGTGAGGATCATGTGCGGTCTGGTGTAGAGGTGGCCTGCGGATGGTGGCTGAATACATTTGAACCACATTTACGGCGAGTACTTGTAGAGGCACGTGATATTTCAAACCATCCAGACATGTCGCATGAGCCACTGTTGGTGGCAATTCGCGAACGCAGTGGAATGTTACTACGTGGATTGAGTGGCCCCCGCACGATTGTACGGCACATCTCAGACTTCACTGTACGCATGGGGTGTATGGCCCCGCATGAGAAGGCCCTGCGGGAGGTGTTGTTGGCCCGCTTCTCACTGCTGGCGCAGACGTTGATTGGGGATGCGAAGTACCCTGGGCAGCGGGAGTACATGGATCGGCTCTGTGAGTTGTCCGAGTGGCTGGATGCCCATGCGGCCAGCGGGGCTTATATGCAACTGCTGCAGCGGGTGGATTATTTGCGGGATTTGGCAAGAGAGCAGCTGAATTTACTTCAACGTGAAACGGATTCAGCCTCACTACAATTACTGGCGTGAATGGGGGGAAAAGTGAAAGTGAAAAAAAGAAAAGAAAAGAAAAAAAAAATGAGTGAAATAAATACTCACGTGTTTTTTTTTTTTTTTCTAGAAAGAAAGAAAGAAAAAATCCTTTATGTTGTTTCGGATGCTGTTATTTTCTCTTACCTTTTCATTTCTTTCATTGTGATTGATTATTTTGCTTCTTTTCCAAGAAGAGGTGTTTTTTTTTTTGTTTCTTCTCGTTTCTTGTTGTTTCACCATTCTTTCCGTTTTATCGTTTTGTTATTTTTTATTTCATTTTGTTTGATTTCTTTCCTCTCAATTGTTAAACATGTGGAATTGAGTTTCTTTTTTTTTTTTTTCAAACTCTCTTGCTTCTTTTCTTCTTATTTGAATTTTCTTTTCAAGGCCCCACAATCTCTAAGAAGACCCCATTTAAAGGATTAAATATATTTATATTCTCTCTTTGAAGAAATAAAAAAAAGGGTCTTTACAAAGAATTAAGAGAGATAGATTTAAAAAAAAAAAAGAGGAGAAAAAGATCTATTAGGGGCTTTTGGTGAAGCTTTAAATATACCCAACAAAAAACAAGTGTATTACAGAGAACAACAAGTAGAGAAAGAGAAAACGCCAAGAGAAGCATAAGGTAGAGAGAAAAAAAAAGAGAAAGCAAGAGGTAATAAAGTAGAGAGAACAAAGACAAAAAAAAAAAGAAAAACAGGAAAACGAAAGGAAAGGTGAAAACGAAAGAACAAGAAGAAAAATCGAAAAGAAGAAAAGAATAAACGTTTGATCTTGATTTATCGTTATCAATAACGATAGAGGATAAGAAGAAGAAGTTTGTCGACATTTTGTCTTTGTTTTAATTTTTTTTTTAGTTTCATCATCTTGCCATTGTTATTACTATATATTTTTTATTTATTATTACTATTACTACTACTACCACAAACTGCTTCCAACCTTAGAGAGATATGGAGTGTGTGGAAAGTCTGGAGATTCTTTCTGAGAACAGTGCCCGGTTTCGCTACCGCTGCCCTGTGAGTACAGTTCGAGAAATGACACCGGAGAGATCACACTATAGTCCAAAATTTGGTATTGGGGGTCATATTTGGCGTTTACATCTACAGCAGCGACGGGCTGTGCAGGGAGATGAGATGTTCCTTTCTCTACATCTTCAAAGTTGTACGAATGCAGCTGTAGTTGCACAGTTTAAACTAACTCTAATGTGTTATGAAGATTTACAATTATCAAAGAGTCATACATTTCGTTGTTCGTTTAATAAATCCGGTAGTGCATGGGGAATGAATTATTTTATTCCTTTACAACGTTTACTTCAACCAGATGCTGAGTTTGCATTTGTGGAAGAAAGTTCTGGAATGCGTTGTATTGATATTGAGATTTTATTAAAAATATTAGAAACTACAGTTACACATGAGAAAAGTATTTCACGTAGGGCCTCCGCCTCACCTCCTGCAGTGGTAAATCGCCATCATAATGAATCTGTTCGTGGATCTACTCGAATGCAACCACCGCAAGATCAAATAAATGGTAGTGCCTCACGTTCTATTTCTACAGGTAGACGTCTTGTACTTGCACCTACTAAAAGTCCTAGTAATCCAGGTATACAACAAACTGTACGAGCTTCTCTTTTATATCCTTTTGAACATCTTGAGGCTCTTGCAGATATGACCTTTGATGTACAAGGTGTACGAATTAAAGCGCATAGATGTGTGGTGGTGGCTCGTATGCGTCCATTATTACCAGAGGCTATGCTTCCACTTCAACCAGGATGTATTGTAGCGATAGCCGTTTCTGTAGATGTTTTTTCTACGTTTCTACGATATGTTTACACAGAAGAATATCCGGAACAAGGAATATTACCACCTGAGGCATTATTAGATCTTTACTTACTTTCTAGTGCATGTGAGTTTTATGACTTATGTGGTATGTGTTTAAAATATGTGCGACCACTTCTTTCATATGAAAATATTCTTCCTATTGTATTGACACGATACAACGCTGGTGATGAGGTACTTAACGCTATGTATCTTCGTGCTCTTTTAGATAATTATGATTACCTTATTCAAGATCCAAAATTTGAAGAAATTCCTGGTCATTTATTCCGTCGCCTTTCTCTTATTTTACGTGATAAGGAACCTGTACCACAGGTGGAAATTCCTGTTGCCAAGAATACACTTGGTAAACAAATTGCATGGTTGGCAGAATCAGGTGAATACAGTGATATGGATCTTATCGTAGGCCCAAAACAATTGGTAATAAAAGCACACCGTTACATATTGGCTTCACGTTGTGTTCTTTTTTCACAAGCAATGAATCCACGGTCAACAGTGGCATTACCGCCCTTTACTTCCCCTGAATTTGATTTTTCACAACGGTCATGGCAAAAACTTTTAATTGGTATTTACCGTCATCACCTTGACATTTATCGAGATTTTTCCGCAGAAGATGTGGCAATTGTATTTAAAATGCACACTGTGTTTGGTATGGATGGACAACTTAGAAAAGAGGCTGATGATGCATTTAATTACCAGAATGCTTTACGTCTGCTTATATATGCAGTGAAACATCACGTATTAGAACTTCATGAACGTGCCATCAATTACGTTGCGAGTAATTTTAGTGTGCTTATATCTGAAGATCCTCAGGCGTGGGAGATCATTGGTGAATTGCCGCAGCATGCGGTGGTGGCTCTCTTCCGTACAGTGGTTGAGAATCAGACCCGAGTATAGAGATAAAGAGTGAAAGAAAAAAAAAAGAATGAGAATAATAGAAAAAGTGAAAAAAAGAGAAAGAGTAGAGTAAATAAAGCAAATCTATTTATAGATTTGGATAGATGGAGAGAGAGGGAGTGGGAGAGAGAGGATGCGTTTGTGTCTCTATGTGAGTGTATCTCCCTTTCTTTCTCTCTCTCTCTGTGAATCTGTGGTGTGTGGGAAAAGGAGAGAGATTACAGATACAAGAGAGAGGAGTATGTGTAATGTAATAATCTCTTGGTTATTGGGAGTTGTGACTTGGAGCCGGTGGTTGTGTTGGGGAAGTTTAAAAAAACAAAAAAAAAAAAAAACGATGCCACAAGCAGAAGATTCTGTTTTTTTTTTGACATCTTTTTTTTTGGCATTTTCTCTCTTTCGTACTTATTTACTGTGTTTCTCTTTTTTTTTTGTTTTGGGGTAATCATCACCTGCATTTTTATACACATGTAGGTGAAGAAACTTGACGGTTTCATCATAATTTTACGTGATGAACTAGATGCCCCTGTTCATTGTTGTGTTTAATCCAGTGGAAATAAGAAGTATTACGTCTGGTTTGTACAAGTACGTAATATATTTCTGTGGTGTTTTTTTCTTTGTCTCTATCTGTGGATGACATATAATAATAATAATTTTTTTTTTTTTTTAATATTTGACAATGTCCTTGTTTCTAGATGGGTGTGTTATGGTTGGAATAATCAAAATGCTTTTTTTTTTTGTTGCTCTCCCTCTCTCTCTCTCTATATATATATATATATATATATATATATATATATAATAGTATAGGTACAAGAGAAAATAATAATAAAAATAAGAACAAAAGAAAAAAAAAACAAGTATTTCCTCTATTTATAGAGTAAGATATTGCTTGTAGTTGAAACAAGTTATAGTGGTATCTTTTTTTAGTAGTAGTTCTCGTGGTAGATACTCTTTTTTTTTTTTTTTTTTGTATCTCCCCCTTTCCCTCTTCTTCTTCTTCTTCTCCGGATTGTCTCTTGTAGTGAAGGAGAACGTCGGTGGGCGGAAAAGAGGCGATGACTGACAAGACCGCCGTGTTGGATCGCGTCTATCTCGCGGAGAGTGTTGTGCAGGCCTGTCTGGCCCACGCCCTCACGACGGAGCAGGAGGAGGTGATGGGGGTTCTCCTCGGCGACATTCAGCCCTCCTCCTCTCCGGCGGGCGGGGCGGGCCGCAAGTGGGCGCACGTGTGGGGGGCCGCCGTCGTGCAGCGCAGCGTGCGGCGAAAAGACCGCGTCGAAATCGCCCCGACGGAACTCGCGGCGGTCGCGGCGGAGGCGGAGCGGCGGGGCGGGTGTGTCGTCGGCTGGTACCACAGCCACCCCCGCATCACCCCGTACCCCTCGCACGTCGATCTCCGCTCGCAGCGCGACTACCAACAACTCGAGAGCGGCTGGGTCGGCCTCATCTTCAGCGTCTTCTACACAGACACCTCGCAGAAGAGCGCCGTCTCCATTCATTGCTTTCAAACAGGAGCGGGCGACTCACACATTATGGTGGACTTTGAAATTGTGCCACGCCTCGACAAATTGTCACCGTCCTCGCTCTCTCGGGATCTAACTCATGAAATGTTGCAAGTATTCGCTACAGAAATAGAAGAAGCTGTTGAACTCGTGCGAAAACGCACCGGCGGGGCGGTGGACGCCGTATCCGCTGCACGTGCACTGCAGGAAGTTCAGCTCTATACAATGGAAAAACTCATTGCTGAGCCCGCACTCCTCCATCTGCAGGCCTCTATTGCATATTTAGAGAAAAAGGTGAAGCATCTTGAAGGGAAACTTCAGAACGCGCAACGCTGATGTGCTCGTTTTTTTTTTTTTTTTCTTGTAATTGGTTCGCTTGTATTCTTTGCTTTTAATTACTATAACCGTGTATGCTTGTTCGCTTTGTGTGCACGTTTTTGCCAATTTTTTTTTTTCTCTCTCTCTCTCTCTCTCTCTCCCTCTCTTTGTTTCTGTCTCTCTGTGTGTGTATATTTGTTTTATTTTAGGGATTCATTCCTTGTTTTTACTTTCATTGGAGTAGAGTTCTAGAACTCTGATTGCGTACTCCTTCATCTGCTGATTGAGCTCTCATGTACTTGTACTTTTTTTTTTTCTCTTTTTTTTCGTTTTGGTCTGTTTCTTTCCTAATGACTGTTTTGATATGTATATTTATATATGTATTTGCTTCTTCCTGTTGTTCACATTCTTTCTGTTGTTTTATATATATAAAAGTGAGTGTGTAGTAGAAAGGTGCTGTATTCTGTAGCAAATCGCCGAAATGCACTCCACAAGGTCTGAGAGTCATTGGCTATACGACTGGCAGAAGAGTGGTAATAACTGCAGCTACAACGATGGAAGCACCTTAAACACTCTTAGTGATCCTTATACTAGCATTTATAATATGCATGAGGTGCAGCAAACTCATTGTTGTTATTCTTCTTCTTATTCTTCACCACCACCACCACCGGTAGATCAACGTGAAAAATTAGAAGCAACAACAACAACAACATCAACACCAACTTCAAAGGGAAGCGAAACAGTAAAGATGAATAACGAAACTTATTTTTTGACCAATTTTCACTATCCAAAGTTTACCGAATATGAAACTGGAAAGAAACGTATGTGGTCTTTAGATGATTTTGATATTGCACGTAAACTAGATGAAGGACGTTTTGGTAAAATTTATCTTGCACGTGAGAAGAGTACAAAGTGTGCGGTAGTGCTTAAATGTCTTTCAAAGAATATGATACGTTATCATAATCTTTTTCATCAGTTAAGACGTGAGATAGAATTACAGGAATATTCAGGACGTTACCATCCTCATATTCTCCGACTTTTTGCATACTTCTGGGATGATATGAATATTTTTTTAGTTTTGGAGTACGCTGAAGGAGGAAATTTACAGATGCTTTTAGAAAGTCGAGAAAATCAGCGACTCTTAGAAGATGAGGTACGTGTTATTTTGCGACCACTCCTCTTAGCATTAACATTCTTGCATGAAAGAGATATTATTCATCGAGATGTAAAACCAGAAAATATATTATTTAAATCGAAAGAAGTAAAATTAGCAGATTTTTCATGGGCTGTACGTCTTAACCAGGGAGATATACGCTATAGTAGACGATATACATTATGTGGAACTTTAGATTATCTTTCACCAGAACTTATTTCAAGACGTGGTTGTACCACAAAGGCAGATGTGTGGTCTGTTGGTGTACTGGCATACCGTATGTTGTGTGGTCAAGCACCATTTGAACACCAATCTGCAGGGGAAACATGTAGTCGTATTACAAGAGGTAATATATACTATCCGGAATATCTCTCTATAGAAGCACGTGAGTTTATTGCTGCACTTCTATGTGTGAATGAGTCTAAACGAATTTCATGCATGGAGGCTTTACAGCACCCATTTATTCGAAATGAGAGATCTAATTCACGTCCAAATGGAATGGATACAGTTCTTCCAAGTCCAGTAAGTGTGGACTGTTCAGCTACACCCTTACATTGGGAAACCGCATTCACAGAATTTCCAGTACCTAGTCCTGAAGTATTTCAACAACAACAACAACAACATCAACAACAACAGTACGAACAAAAACAGTACAATCGAGGAAGAGAAGAAGAAGAAGAAGAAGAAGAAAAAGAAAGATATTATGAGCATGAATATAGGCATGATCTTGAAAATAATCAAGATCATCAGGAAACGCAAAATAGTTTCTTAAATTTAACTCTTGGACGAACTCCTACTGCTGTCTCTACTGGGAATAAAGTAACATCAGCAGCTCGAAGTGCTTCTGTTTCTGGTGCTAGCTTTGTTACAGTTAGTTCATCACATTCAACAGATTATATTCCAAATTTACGAAGTATGAGTATCCCTAGTATTTTATCTGTTTCACAGAGTGATTGGATTCCTTCAGTTGTTTCTACTACTGCTATTTCTACTACTAATACTACTATTAATAATGCTGCTACTCTTGTCGCTGGGGTGACTTCGAAGAGTGGTTCTGAAGATGTAGGAACATCTACTCAAGGGGCAAGTTATAGTCGACCTCATTTGCATTGTAGTGGAAGCGATAGAAGCGGAACTACATTTACACAACATGGGACACTTTTAGCTCCTTCATCTCCCACGTCGCTTTATGTTGTTCCTCACTATACCGGAGCTGGTGGCATTTACACCGTATCTCGAGAAGAGGAAGAAGAAGAAGAAGTAGAAAATAACTGCGTTGTTCGACTGCGTTTCGATGATAGTATTACATCTCTTTCACAGCTCACAAATGCATCAGAAAGTACACTATATGATCAAATAAATGAATAATTAAGGATAATATGTTGTGAATCGGTTTTTGTAACTGCCAAATATCATTTTTAATTATTGTTGTTTTTTAGATGATTATTACTCTTTCTTGGGGTGATCATTTTTTTTTTTTCTTCTTCTTCTTTGTTTTATTTCTCTTACTATTATGAAGAAGACTATGGAACAGAAAGGAATACGATACATACATAGCTCTGTTGCTATTATTTTCCCTGTTTTTTTTTTATATATATATATATATATACACACATGGCCATTGTAAGATATGATCACCATCCATGTGATTTTTTTTTTTTCTTTTTGTAGAAGCATTATCACTTTTCATAGATAGAATTGAAAGAAAACCAAATAGATCTTAATGTAGAATAACCATTTCTTTATTGATGTGGTATGGATGAGATAAACTCTTTTTTTTTCTTCTTTTTTATTATTTTATTATTAAAAAAAAAAAAAAGCATAATGACCTTTCTCTCCTTAACGTTCTCCTTGACGTTTTCCTTATGCTGATTCTCTCTTTCTCTCTCTCTCTCTCTCTGCGTGTGTGTGTATATATTGATTACTACTATTCTCCTTCTTCTTCTTTTATGGTTGTCTTTTGGATTACACATCATTTTGTTTTTTTTTCTTTCTTTCTTTCTTTCTTTTTCCCCCATTGTTTAGTGTGTTGTTGCCGTCCATGCCGCTTGACCTTGTTGGGCGGCTGCACCGCACGGTGTACATTGACGGCTGCCCGGCGGCGGTGCGGGACGATCTCCTGCGGCTCCTCGTGGCGAAGTGCGGGGCGATTGACGGCTGGGACGTGGCCGGCGAGCGGCTCGTGGTGGTCTTCCGCAGCGTGAACAGCATCAGCACCGCCGTGAGCTTCAGCGGCACCGCCTTTGGCGATCTCACCGCCCGCCTGCTGCTGTGGGTCGCCACCGACACCCCGCCCGCCGGCGTCGCGCAGCAGTTGGCGATCACCGCCAGCGGAATGGCCGCCGACTCATCCATCGCCACCACTGGCCCAGCAGCAGCGGGGGGCGGAGGAACAGCACGCACCGCGGAGGAGATGAGAGCGGCGAGGGAGGCGCGAGAGAAACGACTGGCGGCTATTCGATCGGAATTGGCAACCGATATTGAGGAGGCAGAATCAGCGGAGAGTTATGAGGTAAAGCGGCGGGATCTCTGTGTTAGGCAGATGAAAGCACTTTGCACACTTACCGCTCATGCACTAGAGAAGGCGGAGAAATCTCTTGAGGAGTCTACTATACATCTGCATGCCTCTCAGCAGCTGCTGGAGGATCTGCGCAAAGGGAAACATCAGTCATCAGGGAAAACTCCTACAGAGCAGATGCAAACTACTACAACCATTACATTAGATTCAACAACGTCAAATTTATCACAGCCTGAAACCATATCAGGGAATACAGAACCTGAACGGCCTTCTGTATTGGGCGAGCGTGTAGATGTGGCCCAACGTGTTGAGGAAATGGTAGCTGCTGCAGAGGATATTGGAAAAAGACACAATCGTTCTCGAAAAAATTGACCTTTTTCACTTTTCCAGAGAGTTTGGTTTTCTTTTTTGTCTTTGGATTATATGATAACTACGAGGAATAGATATTGTTTGCAATGATTCACAGAATGAATCCTGCTGTGTAGGTATATGTTTTTCTTTTCTATTTATCTGTAATGTGAACCTTATACTACTACTATTAATAATACCATTACTATTATTATTTATTATTATTTATTACTAAGGCTGATTAGTGTAATTCATGTCTTGTAGGGGGTTTTCCCTTACTTTTGCTCTTGTTACCAGGTCACTTTTTCTCTCCATTGGAATGTTTCAATTCTCTGTAGCAGAAGGGTTAAGTACCTCCTCAGATACATACATACACACATTCCCTTCCCAACATATATATATATATATATATATATATATATCCTCTAAATAATGTGGAATCGTTCACGTCAACTCTCTTTAGTATGTCCATTGAATTTTAGCGTTTTGCGCTGCAGCATGCGACGAAAGATTATTTCTGCTGTTTCTACTACTACTACTACTACTCCTAGTAGTGAGATGGCAACATCATATCCTTCTTCAAGAGTAGGGATAAATATGTACGGTGCAAAGGGCTATGACTTTGTAGATGCATTCTATGCTATGGGACCAAATGCTGCACTTGGTAGATTAAAAGCAAATCTTAGTTTATATGGTATTTTGGGTTTTACTGCTCTCACTGTTGTTGTGTACTTTTTCACAACACGTAGCTACACACTTTCAACATGTCCATATCCTGTAAGTGATGCTCGTTATCAAGTGTTTTCCAGTAACTATGCGGTCCTTAGAAACCGATGGAATGGTAAAGAACGAGTGGTGGAAGTATTTAATAATGATGGTGATTCAGCAATTGTAACAAAACGTATTAGTGTTAATTGGCTTATTTATAGTGTACGTTTGTACTTGCATGCCACTGAATCTATTGTAGTTGTAGATGTTGGGCCAGAACTTTCGATAAACCGCTTCGTAACGGGAGAAAATCGTTGGCTTAGTTCTACTTCTACTACTACTAATTTTCCTTCTCAATCAGGAACGTCAAAAAAAGAAGAAAATGGCTCCGATATGCAAATTGTGTTCCATACTACGATTAGACCTCTCGCTGTGCGCAACAGCTACCAAAAAGGCACTCTACCAATTTATGAACGAACACTGGAGTCAGTAGTACGTGAGTTATTAACAGAACATTATCGAAAAACTATCTTATTACAGGCAGAACCAGGTCTTTCCTCTACTGTTACGGAAGAATTGTTGCAAAATGGGCAGCTTAAAGGGAAAAACTTGAGTGGGATGAAAGTAATTGGAAATCCTGATGAATTTGCAGATGAGGTGCAACAGCGGGTTCAAAAGAAGATGGGAGATCAAGTGATACTACTTCAGTGTAGCATGACTGTTCTCTGATTTGACAGGATGTATACATATATATCGGTGTACCTGTACTTGAATATACATATATATTATTTTTTTTTCTATGATGACAGTCACAACATGCACCTTCCTATATATATATATATATATATTTTTACTTGTATTTTTCAATTTTTTTTTTCTTTTTTTTTTCGTTTCTTCTTTAAATCGCTTCACATGTTCTCTCTCTCTCTTTTTTTTTTTTATTTTATTTCTACTGTTCTTTCTTATTTGATTATGTTATTATTAGAAGATGTGGCGGACGGCCGTGCTGTACATTTCCCGTAGTACGGCGTTGCAAGTCTCCAAGAAAAATCTTCGACTCAAATGCAGCACTTGTCGACGACTGCTGCCGGCGGCGCATTTTAACAAAACAACGGCGCCATCACATTCACTTGTGTGTGTGGATTGCAAACGTCTCTGTGTTCTCTGCGGCCTGCACCTCACACTCGATCACTTTACGGACGCCAGCGCGGAGTTGTGTGATCGTTGTTTGGCGAAGCGGCACGTGGCGCGTGAAAATGTGTACTTCCGCTACCCCGTGCTGAAGTACCGTTCCTGTCCGTTCAGCGTGGATCAAATGCGGGATGAGATTCGCCGCGAGGGCCCCAGCAAGTAAACGAAAAGGAAGGAAGGAAGAAGAATGAAAAAAAAAGGCACCATTACAACAGTTTCCTGCGGGAGGTGGAATGAGCTGAAGGGGTTTTTGTTTAAGCTGAAGGAGAAAAAAAAAAGAAAAAGAAGAACATCAACAACAACAAGAAGAAGACATGTTAACAGCTTCTTTTTATTTTGACATCACTTTGAGTGATATTAGCGTTCTCCTTTATTATTTGCTCTTCTTTTTTTTTTTTTTTTTTTTTTTTTTCTGTTGCCAGGACTCTGTTTCCCATTTTTATATACATTTATTTATTTTTCGGTGAATACAGGTGGTTTATTTTATTTTTTATGAAGTCTCCTTGTTCAGTTTCCATATATATCTCTTCCGTATTTTTTTTTTTTTTTTTTCTTTTCCCCCCTTTCTTCTTCCACTTCTTCTTCTTGATGGAGTTCACTCAAATAAATGTCCGGCAGTATGCGTCCCGTGCGGCCGGTGGATATTTACCTCTTCTACCCAAATCTCATTGGCTATGGTCGTGTGTTGTTAACACTTCTCTCCTTCTGCGTGCTGGACGCCTATCCTGTTGTTTTTCTCGTCTCTTACGCCTTGGCTTTTGTGCTCGATGCGGCGGACGGTATTGTTGCGCGGGCCTTTGGGCAGTGTTCGCACTTTGGGGCCATCTTCGACATGTGGACGGACCGCGCGGCCACTGCTGGGCTGCTGGTGGTGTTGAGCCACACCGCACAGAAGGGGATGCCGGCGTGCTTTACTACACTCTGCGCGGTGCTGGTCTTTCTCGACATCGCCTCGCACTTCTGTCGCACCTACATAACGCTCTTTATGCGGAAAAGTACACATAAGGATGTCTCGGAAAGTATTTTTTCTCTTTTACGATTATACTACTCGAATCGTAAGGTGATGGGGGCATTTTGTATTGGGCAGGAGTTCTCCTATCTGCTCTTCTACGTCTACTGTGTATATGGGAATATGTGGTGGACACAGCCCATTGTCATTCCACTCCTCATCATCACAACAGTGCTGAACTTTTTAAAACAGGTAGTGAATGTACAGCAGCTGCTGGATGGGATGTACCACCTCGCCGTAAAGGATGCGGAAGAGCGGGAAGAAGGGAAAGGAAAGTAAAAGAAGGTGAGAAAGGACAACAACAACAACAAAAAGAAAAAAAAAAAACGAAAAAAAAAAAGTAACCATGTCAATCAAAAAAAAAAGAACAAAAAGAGAGAATGGTATGTAATGGTGAGAAAGAGGTATTCTTATAGAATGTCGAAGAAAAAAAAAAAAAAAAAGCGATAGATGGAAGTGGTATAGCGCTAAATTGCAATAGCAAAATAATTTTTTTTTTTCTTTC